TGGACAAAGACAGGAAAGACAGAGTATGAAGCCGAAGCCCGAAGCCACTTAACATGACGATTGAAAACAGGTATGAAAATATGCCTAAAACCACATTTGCTCTTGTTCACCCCAAACACTGACATGTTATACACAAGTGTAAAACAACACATTAGACAAAACATCTGGAACAAACCCCACCACACACACACACACACACACTGCAACATGTCGCATTTTACTCTTGTTAGTTGGATTGATTTATAAATAAAATACGCCATATTTTGGTATTGGCAGGCAGAATATGTTGCCTTTATGTCAAACTGGGCTAGCTCTTTATGCTAAGCTAACGAGCTATAGCTTCACTAAGTTACAGCCACTGATCACATTAGCTTAGCATTGCGACTGGAGGTGGAGCGGGAATAGCTAGCTTAGCTTTGTCCAGAAATGTGCCTACCGACGCCTGCGAAGGCTAACGAACACGTTATTCACAAGCAGCAATTTTGAGAGGCTACGTAGCATGGTGCTAATGCTAGTCTAAGCTAACAGTTGTTAGCTTTATATGTCGTCGCGGGGACGTGAAAGTGTGTGTCATCTAAATCTTGATAAAAGGGCTATTTAGAGAATTTCCCTTAACTTCAAATTTGTATCTTTAAGGCAGTTACGAAATGGGAATGTTGGATGAAAACGGACAAACAAACCAAAAGTTGTGAAAGAAAAATAAAAACACGTTAGACCATTGATTGCCTCCTATGTATAATTAGGATTCTACAGTTATACATGCTCTTCCCAAACATTGTATGTTACACAGTGAATCTTTACGTTTACAGTCATACATAAATACAATCACACTGGTGCTCTCTGCAGGGCCCGGACCTCCTGCAAAGAGAGAGGATGTGACATCGCTGTTTCTTTTTCCCTTGTGTGGAAGGGTTGTTCTCTGCTGCACGAGGTGAGGATGAGTTATTGTAGAGTTTGTGGTAGTAGTAGTAGTAGTAGTAGTAGTAGTATTGGAGTATCACTGTAAATGTTCAGTGGTGTTTTCCATCTCCCAAAATTACATGACAACATACTGCGTGTATGCTCCTTTCTGCCATTTGTATTTTATTGCCCATTCATGTGTTTACATTGCAAATCACTTCCAAACCAACCAATTAGTCTGTTGATTGTGAATAGATTTTTCTTTTTCTTTTTTTTACAGTCAATCATTTACAAAGTAATGTAAGCAACATCAGCAAGATCACACATAACAAAGCTTAGCATTTCAAGAATCGAGACACTTTAGTAACAATATCAAAGGTTTTTTTTCCAGTTTAAAAAAAAAAAGAAATATAGTGAACAAATGAAAAAAAAAAACTTTTAAAGAATTAGCATCATAAAATGAATTTATTCCAAGTAAAAATACAAAATAATATTAATGACATTGACCAGATATGAAAGTCTCCCCCAGAAATAACTATTAATGGCCGAGAAAAAAGTTTTTAAAGAAAGAATATGAAATAAAAAATGAAAAAATGTAAATATGTAAATTTATTTCTTTTTTAGCAAAACTCTAAAAATAATGAAAATTTCTCAGTACAAAGGCTACATTACTACTGGAAGGTACTAGCAGGTAGAGTAGGTAAATACACAGTAGAAAATGATTTTAGTGAATCACAATGCTTGCAATGAAAATAATTCTGCAATAAAGATTTATGCCTTTTTTCTTCTTGTTTTCGTTTTTTCTACAAACAGTACAAACAGTATTGCACATTACAACAAAGAATTAAGGTTCTTAGCCTTAAACAAATGGGACTAATTCAAGTCTTGCGTGAATAGAAGGCCACCAGTCAATATGATGCACCTTAGGGGCTCTCGATCAAGTTACAGGTGAAAACACGTGTCTGTTTTGTGTTAAAAAAAACATTCCCGTCTCTCTACTGTTCAGTGACTCCCACAAGTTTCTGTTTTTCTCCCAACAATGTCAGGATAACAAATGAGGGTCACGTTTTCTTTTTTTACAAAACAAAAAGGGAACACGTACTTTTAGGAAACATAAAAAACTTCTCTTAAAAAAATAATGAACAGAAGATCTCTTTCACAACTCTGGTCAGCATAGTAAATGATTGATTATAAATATACAAAAACGTGGGAAATATGTTTAGTTTTTCTCTCTTGAGCACCTGATAGTATTTATTTTCCTAAAGCGCTCTTCTCTGATATTTCAACCAATTTGACCAGTGGGATGCTCACCCTAACGTTCAAGCAAACTACATCATTACATTAGTCATAAAGCTCTAGCTCCTTCAGTTGTTGTCGTTTTCAAAAAAATAGATTCTTAAAATAAAAGCAAATAAGCATGATAAAAATAATAAATTCAACAATCAGTTCAATCGTTTCTCTTTGAGAATTAAATTAATATATATTTTTTCATCTGAATAAACTTAGAAAATATCAGTTTCTCTCCTAATATATTTCAAAATTGAGGTATTGCAAAAGATCTTGCCGGTCAGAAAGCACACCGTGTCAGTTTTTTTTTTAAATCTTTTGACAAAAGTAACTGCTGACCGTTGAACTGCCAGGGTACAAAGAGTAGTGCATAACAGATCGATCATAGAGAAGGAACAAACCTAGAAAAGCTGTCTGGGTGAGGGAAAGAAATGTCACAAAAATCACCTAGAATTCACTTTCTTAGGGATACTTATTATTACTCGTGGTTGAATTCTTCTTTTTCTTTTTTTTTTAAAGAAAACACATCTCTTGCTTAAGTTTCAATTAGTTTTTCTTGGACGACAAAACATCTATCCTGAAGCAAAAGAAAAAATGAAAATGAAATTAATTAAATGAACAGTTTGCGACTAAAACGAGAAAGGGACTGCGGGGCGCCTGCACGGGACGATCTCACCTCAAGGATAAAAAAGGAAAAGGAGGGGGGGGGGGGACAACACACAAACTTTATGTAGGATCCCGCTGGGATTTCCCACAAAAACCTCTGAAACCAGTGTAACTTGGCCCCAGCCCGAACCCGTGCCGCCCTGTTGCACCGTTACTTTAATGATTAAAACTAAAAGAAATAGATGTCCGCCATTTTGTTAGCTAGCATGTCCATCACTTCAAGCTTTGCAGGAGAAGAAAAAAAAATCTGGACAAATCTGGTAACCCCAGCTTTAAACCCCCCCCCCCCCCCTCCCCCTCCCAACCCCAGTCATGTAGTGAAAGCACATGCAGAGCTCAGTTTATCAACCTCCAGTAGCTTCAACATTTAATTGGAACCCCCCCCCCAACTGTTCTTCCCACGTGCCCCATGTTCCTTATGATGAATCAAATGCACCTTCCAGCTCCTCAGAAGGCGGCTGCTCGCTCTGCGGTCTTGTGTCACGTGAGCTCTTTGGTTGCATTTGGAGACGCAGGCAGTTGTTTTTTTTTGACAACGGCGAGAAAAAAAACCCTCAAGACCTCGGTTCTAAGTTTAAGCTCACATTGTCCCGCCTTTTCTTCGCACCGGACGCGTCTGTAGGCCTGCCTGTGTGTGTGTGTTGAGAGGCCTCCGTGTATACTGGTGCACTGTGTGTGTGTTTGTGTGGAGAGAGAACATAATGTAGGTGTGCATACACTAGTCATGAAGTTTCACAGGACTTCTATGTCGGACACTGACGACAGTTAAAGCGAATCACAGTTCTAGGCATACTCAGACCTAACTACGTACGGTATAAAAAATTGCACAATTATATCAACAATCACTGCAAAAAAGTACTTCACCTATCATAGACAGTTGTAAATGGTAATCCTACATCTAACTTGATTCGTGGTTATTAAGGTTGGTTGTTTTTTGTCCCCCCCCCCCCCGCGCCGTGAATCCGGTCCAGGGGGGTCGAACGGACTCTACGTCCGTGTAGTGTTGTGCAAACATGGGCAGAATCCAATAGTAGAAGTGATACTAAAAAGTCTACTGCATGCAGCAACCTGATTGAAATAAACATGCAGTGAGGGGCAGCGTGTCTGCACCCCGAACCCCCACAAAGGTGCGCATCGTTGCCCCGCCCCCCTCCTCCCCCGCGACGGCTCGCCGATCTACGACACTCGGTGCTTCTCTTGATCCGCTATCTGCTATATTTTTCAGCCGAGCTTGGATAAAGTACTTGTGGTGTCTGTTTACATCGCGGATTTAGCAGCAAAGCTGTTGCAGCATTACATTTATGGAACACTAAAAAAAAAAGAATGTTACTATAAAAATAAAGACCTCGAAAACCAAAAGCAAACTAATCTGATTTGCGCGTATGAGGTATTAATATATTCCGAGTCAGAATTGAGAGCAAATACAGCCGTGGTATTGTTACTCCGAGCGATACAGGCCCACACTACTGGATAGCTGTCGAGTCCTGCTACATCTTACGCCTATTCAGCTTTTCTCCATGCGCTCATTTGCCTTTGGTTCATTTTTTTTTTTCCAGTAGGGGCAATATAACTACAGCTTTTGAAAATAAGTGCATGCTCCTTTTACATAAAATGTTAATTATCTACGTATGTATAGATAGAGGTACAAAACAACAAAAAATATACTTCTTAAATATTTGTATGGTCGCCCCCTCCGTCTCAGTGGGGAGGAGGGGTCCAAACGGACGTACCACACTACCCAGTCAGAACAGGGTAACTGAAAGTAGCCGGGTGTCTAACATACCGTCCCGGGTGTGTGAGATTTTGTGCCAAAGTGCAAATTTCGAAGCTGATAGACTTTCCGCATTCTATTCCCCCCCCGGCCCCCCATGAGAGGGGGAGCGTCAGTAGATAAGTTCAGAGCCATGTGGTATGAAGACAGTCCCGTGTATTTGACGGAATCCTTTTTGCTTTTTTTTTTTTTATTTCAGGGGGTGTTGGAGGGGAGCCGGGTGGAGGAGTAACGGGGGGCTGCGGATGGGGGGGGGACTGCGGTGTTTAAGCTCGGCCCCGGCCTGTAGGGTTGGAGGGAGAGGGTTTTGGTGGCACGGGCTGGGGGGGGGGGGGGGCCCGGATAATCGTTGGCCCAACCCCTTCTTCTTCCCTTCGGCCCCTTCTTAGGTTCAGGGGAAAGAGACGTGTCGCGGGCGGTCGCCGCCCTCCTTCACCAGCGGCTTGTGAAACTCCCGGCCGGCCCGCGAGTGGATGCTGGCCCAGCAGTACTCGCAGTAGTACTGCAGGCAGGTGACGTTGGCACAGAAGAAGGGGGCGAACTTCCCCCCCGCAGCGCGCCCCCTGGCACTCGTCACACATCTGGTCGTCCAGGACGTACGGCTTCACCTCCACCTGGAAAGAAAGGGGAGCGAGAGGAGGCCCTGAGTTCTCCATCCTCCACGGACCAACGCTTTTCATGCACATGCGAAAACCTCCTTCAAGCCGGTGTGCAGCACATCGCCATGCAAGGCAACTTTCTAAAATAAGACCAGGAAGGAATGCTTCCATCCAACAGTGAAACGAGTTTGACCGCTAAGCCGGGAGATGAGAAATGAGAGCTCAGTCGCCATGGAGACGCCTCAGAGCACCAGCAGGCAGGGGCGGATGCTAACCTTGTTATAGCACGGCCACAAAATGAAAGGTTATTAAATCCTACAACAGCAGAGGACGTCCCTCTCGGCTAAACTCTGCATGGACTACAGTGCGAGTCCCCCTTCCGCTGAAGACCACGCCGACATGCCATTAAAAAACAATATCAACCGAGCAGACAGGAAGTTGACCACGGTGAACGAGCCTCTGTGTCCTATCATCAAGAGCCATTTGCAGCTAATGGAATTCTGGACGCCAATTGCTAGAAATGAGAAAATGAGACGGAAAAGTGGAAAAGACTTTCATTCCACACCCAGCCGACTGTTTAAGATGTGCAACCCTTCTGCAACGGACATAGATTCCATAAAGTGTTCATTTTCACAGACCCTTGTGGCCTGTATACACGTGTTATCAGCACCATTTGTAACCCCAGCCATAATAAAGCCCCCCTAGAGAAGAGGGATGGGGTTAGCAGAGGCTCGGCCTCCTGGCTGACGACCAGTCTCTCTCGGTCACCATCGGCCCACGATGCAAACGGTCCGGCGAGCCTAAAATAACCTCCGTCTGCAGCACAGCCAGAGTGGACGTACATGTATACGGAGCTACTGTAATTAGAGCAACCCTACGCGTCTGCAACTTGAAACATCTGTCAGCACTCCGGCGGCTTGAGGCCGGGGCCGGGCCTTCGGCTCTAGTGCGGTTCTCATCGGAGTAGCATCAGCAACCTCCGGGCGCGGTGGAGACGCTGCTTTCTCTCAGGGGACGGACGCGGCGAGGGAAGCTCACCCTTTTGTCGATGTCGTTGTGCTGCAGCTGAACGAAGCGGGCGCTTATGGCGGCGATGTAGCTCTGCTGATTGGAGAAGGCCACGCGGCCGGCTCCCTTCGGGTACTTGAGTTCGGGGTCGGTGTCGATGCCGGCGTAGCAGACGCCTCCGTACAGCCGGTCCATGATCATGGCCAGCTCCACTGGAGGGGGAAAAAAAAAGATTCAACTTGATTGACGCTGATGCAAAAAAAAAAAAATCCACCCTACTGCACTATTCATCAGGGCAGCAGTCTGAAACTGCTGGTATAATTAGTAGGGGTCACATTGCAGACCAGCCGGCGATGTTTATCCTAAGGACAGATAGGCCGAGCCTTCCATTACACCAGGAATTCTTTACTTGACGGCCACTTGGCCCGTTTCCTGGAAACCCAAGTAGAGGATTGGAGAACCCTCGTTACAGCCTCCAGGTTCTGTCCCCCGTGCCAGCCGACGCTACGAAGCCCACCTCATTTTTGTGGTGTTGCTGGGCCGCAAAAAAAAAAAAAAAGACATCCCATTCCTTTTAGTATTTTACCTGCACGCAGGGGGCGCGGCACCCCACCTACAAAGATGGTCTTGCGGGGGTCTAGAGGCTGAGAGCCGTCCATGACGAAGTCACTGTCGCTCAGGTTCCAGGGACGGATCTGGACCTGCATGACAAAAGGAGCAGCGCGTTATATTAGAAGGCAAAGTATAAACAACTTTGCTCTATGGATGATGATGTTGATTATTTAGTCCACCATTCTTTAGTAAACTACTGCCATCGCATAAACATTCTGGGTCCTCAGAGGATGAATTGTAATGGTCCCCTGAGTTAATAATTTTGCATTTGTCCAATGACATGTCTCATTAGCCTCAACTGTGCTTTTTGTTTGCAACGTATTAACAAATATAAGCATGCTAACACGCCAAGATAACAGGATAAATATTATTTGCCACTTACTGGTTTGTCTTTGATGGTGGGACTGGACACACACAGGTAGAGCTTGCCGTCCTCCTCCATGCAGGCGTCGATCAAGGCCTGGACAGAAGTCTCTTCCTGGAAGAGAAGGAAGGCGTATCCTGGGGAGAAGTGCAAAAAGGGGGATTTTAGGGAAAGAAATGATACTAAATATATGTAAAACATACCCTGTGAACAACTTTATCCTATGCAATTTTTGTTTTCTTTCTATATTGTAAAAGTAGCAACCTCGTGACCGAGCCCCCAAACATTATTCTTTTTGGGTAGAATTATTCACAGTTTCAGATAACTTTGCTTCCCTCTGTCCTCATTTGCCTCGGCCGCCTGCGTAAGACGCTCTGCAGCCGGCACCTCGCTGTCGGCGCTGCCTCAGATTAAATGGCTAAGAGTGCTCCACTTCCAAAGGAACCGTGCAAAATCGACCCAGCCTCGCGTATCTGCCCCCCGAGAGTGGGCTCAGGTAGAGAGTTTGGTGATGTCTTTGCTCGGGGTGAGGGCAATGCAGACACTCGGTGCTATTGAATTATTTAGCGTTGAGAGCAGAGACCTTATCCGAGGTCGGAGCTATTAAGCCGTTTTGGGAGGAAAAAAAAAAAAGGGTACATCCATCACACACTCCTACATCTGTTGTACACCGAGAAAGGAGGTAATAATAACCAGATACTTGGCCTTACCAGACAAAAGGTGAATGTGTTTATATATGAATATATATAACCGTGAAAAAGCAGCATATGGTAATGCTTACAGGCGTCTTTCTGTGGGTTTTAAATTTTGAGTGCATTGCTGTGGGAGTGTTAGCAGAAGCCAAGCACCACCTGTGGCACCCATGAGTCAGGGGAATATGAGCTGCCGCCAGAGCGGAGCAAGTGGGACTTAGAGACACGCATAAGTGGAGGCAATTATGCATGCAGGCCCAGAGTTTACTCGGTCTCACATCTTCGTCTGTAGCAGCCTCTCTCTAGACTACTACAGTCACATGTTCCCCTTGAGAAGCCCGTCTCGCACTCTGATGCAGACAAATGCACACCAGTGCAAAGAGCAATGTGCAACTGTCAGGCTTCAATGTCGGGCAGAGGAGGGAAAGGAGGGATGGGGGCATGCGCTGCTGGGCTGTGGACAAAATGCATTGAGCATTAAAAAGGTGGAGTGGAAAAAAAGCAGGCGTGAGTGGCGCGTGTCCCCTACGTCACTCCCAGCGAGGTGACGTGCGTCTTCCTGACATTTGCGTCACAGTGCAGCACATGAAGCGTCATTGTCACGACCTGACGACTTCATTGGATTAGATCTTAGATATTCAGTTAATTTATTAGTGGATACAATAATAATTGGTGGATAGTAAAAGAAAAATATTGTGGTTTTGGCTCTGGGAGAATGTACAGCTAAAGGACTTCTGGCTGAGGAAAAAAGCAAAAATATTTGTTTGCGTAGCCAAACTGAACTCAAGAATGTGCTCAGCTCGAGCCACACATCCACAGCTCTGCACGGGATATTCATTTAATTTAGTGCCAACATAACTAAGAAATAAAGGTATTTACAGCGTGAAATAAAAACTGATCACCGTAATTACCTCATTTTATAGCCTGCTCGGTGCCTCACAGGGCCACCCATGTCAATTCATGTGGCAACAAGAGGATAAAAAAGTATTAAAATAAAGCCAACAACAATAGTAACAAAAGAAAAGGCTGTGGGAACGCAGAAGCAGGTTCGTGATGGCAACACAATAACCATCTACGTGTCCCTTTGGGATTAATATCAGATGTTTAGCATACACACTGTTGAGTAATAGTTTGCGGCTACTAATTAAACGTTTTTAGCCGTTCATCAGCCTTGTAGAGTCAAATGACCTCGGCTGATAAACCCCTGCGGGGCTGCAATCTCTTCCCTGGTAACGAGCTGAACCACGATGGGCAAGACATTACATGTGCACGATGCCAAACTAAATGCTTCAAGTGACTCGCTTAATATCTGTATTATTGTGATCGGTCAACGCAGAGCCACATCCCCTCTGGACCAGCCACAAAAAACAACAACAACACACAATTAGACTCGACTTGGAGGATTTTGTGCTTCGTCATCGTTCTCTCTGCGCCGCGTCATCACACGACATAAGACCCCTGTCTCTGTGTCGCTGGGTTATATAAAGGGGGGGTTTGTCATCGGGAGAAATCACGTGGTTTTTGCACAGACCCCCCCCCCCCCCCTCGAGAAAAACAACTGCAGTCTTGCACACACACCCAACAACGACATAGAGCATGAAAAGGCAGCGCTAGCCAGCAGCTCATGCAGTCTGGAGGAGGGAACAACGTGTTCCGTGACCCAGGGCAGGAGAGAGAGAGGGAGAGGGAGAGCAGGGGGAAGGAAAGGAGGGGGAGAGGAGTGAGACAAACGGAAAGATAGGGGAGAAAAGTGAGAAAAAAGTAGGCCGAGAAGGATAGAAGGAAGGTGAACGAGTGTGAAAACACACAGGAGGGCACGAGGAGCAGGAGACGAGTCTTTTCCATGAGCTGCAATGGGTTTCACTGTGAAAGAAACAAAAAGGCCCCGTGTTCACTTCTATGGCATCCCGAGGACATTTATAAGACGCCTTATTTTAAGGCAGACCTAATGTCTTTAATAAAGATTAAAGACAAAACATACTTTTACAATCCCAGAACTAGCCCTCTCAGTTGAAAAGAAACTGCATTACAGTTCAATTTTTGACAACATAATGTCCCCCATCCTCTACTTTTGTCCCATCACAATCAATAGCCTGAATGACACTGAAACTCCCCGTGGTCACATAGTAGAACAAACACGGGCCAGATTCCACTAGGCTCTAATGTCGCTTTAATGCTCTCATATTTAGTCTGAAATGTGCTGCGGATCTGTCTTTTTCCATCAGCTTTGCGCAGTGCAGAGGCTTACACCGCAGGAGAAAGGCGCAGATCTGCAGTGGCTCGTGCCCGAGATTTATAGGGCTTTGCTCCTGAGCTCCCAGCGCTGTCCGGGGAGGAAGGGAATACATACACCCGCGGCATTTTCCGGCCTAAGAGCGCTGTTTGGAGTCAAACAGAGTGCCTTGCGGGTTACGAAGACAAACCGCCGACTTACAGAAATCGGTCCTGTCCCGGGGGACCAGCCGGTTGACTCGTGAGGGGAGAGACGGTCCCCTCAACATCAATCTGTGGACTAATAAAGACCCTAAGTGCAATTTCTGTGGCATACCTACCAATAGCATTACGCTAGGCTTTATTCATCAATGGAATAGTGTGACATTTTTGGAAACAGAAGAGATACTTTTGTTCCATATTTTCAATATGAAGCTAGCTTAGCATAGTTGGCCGCCTTGAAACAGGGGAAACAACTGTAGCCCGTCTCTGTTCAAAGGAAATGACTGTTATCAGTTCTTATAAAGCTCAGTAAATTGTATCCCTATAGTTAGCAAGCTGTTACAACATTTCCCGTCTTTATGCTAAGCTAACCAGCTGACGATGGTAGCTTCATACTAACCATGCAGATATAATACTATGCATTACGCATTTTACCTTTAATGGAATAGTTTGACATGTTGGGGATAACATGTTCACTCTCCAGACCCTTTTATTTTGGATTTTAAATTTGAAGCCAGCTAGCTTAGCATAGCATTAAGATTGGATACAGGGAAAAGAAGTATGGCTACGTCCAGAGGCAACAACATCTGGTTAACAGTTCCTCAAAACCTCACTAATTGACATGTTAGAGATTGCTAGCTTTTCCGTTGTTTTCAGTCTTTATGCTAAGCTAATTTGCTGCTGGCGGTAGATTATTTACTGTAAAGACATGAGTGGCATCGATCCGCTCGGCCAACTTACGTAAATGAGAGGAATGCACGTAAATGATCCCTTTAAGTACTTTCCACAGATACGAGGTTTCAGAGTTCAAAGCAGAGCAACACCGGGCAAATTAACCCACATGGTCTTGATGGTCTAGAAATACCCCGCTGGGTGAAAGCAATGCATTGCTAGCTGCCTAATGCTAGCTGGTACTTCACTTCATCCACGTACCACATTGCTACCCAATTCTCTCCATTACCTCATTAACTGGATGTTGTGTTGACTTTGTTAAAATCCAACCCACAAAGAATAGACACAATGTGCATCTCTCTGGATTTAATAGCGGCATTGAAATCTAAGTGTATCTTTTCCCCACTTTCATTTGTATCTATAGATACACAGACATGTTTGTCCGTGTACGTGTTTGAAACAAATCTGCCACTCACTGTCAGATGGAGGCAAGAGAGCAAAACCTCCAAAAAGGAGGTTTCAGGGATAGCGTAGATGATGGATGAAGCCAACCGAGCGTGAGGTGGAGAGAAATCGGCAGGGGGCTGTCTGCCACAAAATGTAAATAGACCGACTGCTGTCAGCAGAAGGATAAGGTGGCTTGGGAGGATGGATGTAGGGAGACACAAACATCTGCTTTCCTAATAACAAACAGGCCCTCGAGGCTCTGGAGCAATTGGAAAGCAGTCAGAGTAGAGAAATCGACTGTCACAAATCATATCAATTAAAAAAAATAACAATTTACTCACTGGATATAATCCCTACGTATAAATTGAGGCCGCAGTATTGCAGTAAGATGCAATACACTGATCCGCTGCCACTGCAGCCAGGACTTTGATTCATTCTTGTTACATGAAGGAAATTTAGGCCCTACGACAACATCTAATATTGTAGGCAGGGGTCAAAAGCAATCTTCAGTCTTAACCTTCTGATGCCTTCAACCGAACCACTGTTATTACAGCATGACGTGGGCATTAGCATTCGTAGCAGTTTATAGCTCCCAGGCTGCGGCGGAATGACACCCCCTCCTCTCCCCCCGATCACAGAGAGAAATAGCTCCATCACATTTTAAGCTCATTGGCAACAGGGAGGGTGTGGGGAGCAAATTGACCATATCTTGTCAGGCCTCTTTTTTTAAATGCACTTCAAAGGGCAGGGAAGCGCCATTTCATATTGTTCCCTGGTATAATTTAAAGCGGCGTTAAATACTTTGTTATCACTTGGGGCCATTGGATCAGGCTGCTAATCTTCTCATAAATGCTACAGGGGAAAGTTGCCTGCTTACACACCAGCAGACACAATATATCATGAGTATTCATTTTAGGTTTCTGACCACAAGTGCATTATTTCTTTTAGCTCAGTTTTGGTCTTCACCATATCCTGAAAGAAATATTAAGCTCTTTAGCAATTTAATGCTCTGCTGCGTTCCCTGGTTAGTTGCGGACTTTCTGTTATTAGATGCGGGTCAGGTAGTACACAGCAGTATACAGTAAGTACACCAGAGCTTTTATGCTGAAAGCATCTGCACGCGGCAACTGGAAACAAGCTTAATAAGAGATGTGAGAATGAGCCAATTCATTAAAAGTTAAAAGCCCCCCAAAATATAACTCTTCCCTTTAGACCTTCAATGTCTTTGTATGCATTGTATTGCATTGGGGAAAGTTAGCTAATCCCCATTCCTACTCCCTCCATGGTTCTCTGTCCACGCGTCCTCGCCTGCTCCCGAAGTGGGACTAAGCCACGATATGAGTCACCCATAAACCAAAATGCTTTGGTAACTGCACAGACACACATCTAATGTGAAGCAGAATGGAAAGTGACAACCGTCTTCCGTCCGGGCCGAGCTCGTCGGGACGTTTAACACGGGGAGAGGCCGACCCCTTGGCAAGTATTTCCCATCTGTAATTCCGCCGCCACGCAATCGTTTCGACTGTAGCACACACTCACAAACACACGTGCAGATGTGCAAGCCGCCCTGACGCTACTAGTGCCAAGTACTCCGTCACCAGGCACCTGACCATGCTCCCTTGCCAGTTCATATGGAGAGTGTGTTATAAACAGGATATTTTAGGTTTTTTAAGTTTCCTTTTCATTTTTGGAGTGGAGGGGGGGGGGGGGGGGGGTATAGAAATTTGCGTGCAAGATCAATTCCAAACAGACCACTGGTTCCATGTGTCTCCGCCCCTCACATGGCGGCGTCTCATACATTCCCCTAAAAGGATGCTGCATTTTTCCTACTGGCTTTGGATATTAGTAGTCGAGCCTTTTCAAAATAATCCTCCCGAACTAAAAAAAAAAAGAAAAAAAAAAAGAAGAGATTTTGTAAAATGAGAGTGGAGAAACTGGCAGAGACTTCAGCAGGTCCTCCAGATGCAGCGTATTACCATCTGCCTATGGAATGTCAGTTATTTCCAGAGCGTCTTTAATAGATTTCCTAATATGATACACAGCAGCTCCCGTGATGTGGAGGTTTGGAAAAGGGGGCTGCTGTTCTGATCACCTGCTGTAAAACCACACTCCAAAAGGCTGGGCAGGACAGAGGGACGCTTCCACGCTCCTCAGCTACTCATTCAAGCAAACACTTCTCGGGCTCGGAACTCTTGGTGGTCAGTTACGGAGTCATTATATACTGCGTGTGGGTTTCTGGGAGAAAACTACATGGGGCTGCTCAGATAAACACACACCTCCACGCTGGCCCAGCCGGGGCCACAGAATTCTGGGTAACACAACTCCAATATTGCAATGCACCCAGGTGCTATTTATTGGTGTAGACCTTATTGACAGATGGGAAAATAACACGGATTATGCTCTGAGAATCTGTTGTTACCTTTAGGTGGGAAGTAGGATTTGCTCTCGGCTTTGTGGGGCCAGTCGACCACCAGGTGCCCATAGCGACGGAAACTGTTGGTGATTTCATCTGGAAAATATCAAAAAAGACAAGAAGAAAATGACTTAAATGTTGCTTTCATGACACGATAGCGAACCATCATGGAGTTTGCGTATGCCGGAGCCACACGCAGATTTGAGACCTCCACAGGTTTCTATTTTGTGCTTTCCCACCGCGGTGGTAGCCACTCCATTAAACAGGAGCGCAGGCTGGGCACCTCCAGTCCGCTCTGGGCCGACTCGTGCTGTGGCAACTCATGAATTTTTCAGCCGGCTAAGGGCACGTAATGCATCATGCGCTGGTGCAACGGCGCAGACACACGCAACAGTAAACACTTCATATTAACGGTGAACTCCAGAAACTATTACAGGTCACAGGCGTAACACCAGAGGGAAATCAAAACAGGGAAAACACACACCAAAACAGTGAAACGGTATGAAAATACACAGATTGTGGGGCTCCAAAAAAAGCAACAACAAAAAACGTAAACCTCTATGAACATTTCCCCGAGGCGTATAAAAGCCAAAGTCGGTGTGATTTGACTCTGGCTGGGACAACAAATTACATTTTCACTTGACGACATGCAAGGCCCCGTCTTGGGGGCAGAGCCCTCCGTTTCCGATCTTTGTGCTAAGCTAAGCTAACCGACTGCCCGCAGCAGCTTCATATTTGATGCACACATATAAAAGGGGGTTTCAATCGTCTTTCTCAGCGAGAAAGTATTACTAGTATATTACTTAAATGTTTCCCTAACTATTCCTTTACTTTGATAACTTCTGATAAAATCTGTTCTTTGGTTGCTGAGAACGAGCCTGAAGTATATGAGAACGGTTCCTTTGTTTACCTTCATCAATGTCAGGGGGGAGGCCTCCGACAAAGACCTTCCTAGAGTAGCGCTCCATCCTCTCCCCGTTCTGACAGCGGGTGGGCGAGTTCAGGCCCGGGGTCAAGGAGGGGTCGCCGTGACCGTCGTCAAGGAAACCGTCTTCAAAGGGGAAGAGACAGGAGCGACCTGGCCGGAGAGGGGAAGAGAAGGCCACCAGGAAGGCAGACGGGGGAAAGACAGAGTGGTGTGAAGTAGAAGAAAACAAACAAACAAACAAACAAACAAGGGAGGGTGTGAGAGATGAATGAATGAATTCATCGCATCTGGAAACCTTTACTGTGGCAGAATAAGTTTTAGTTCACGCTCAGAATTCTGACTAAAGTCCGTCCATCAACAAAATCAGATGATCGTCTGTTTGTGTGCACTTTATTTTTAACTTTTTATTTTTAATTTAAATTCCCGTTGTCCTATCTGTCTTGTTGTCCATTGTCTTGTCTGATGTTATGCACCAACCATAGTCAACCAAGCCTAATTCCTTAATAAATGTCCTGATTCCTGAGGGACTGTTGATACAGTATTCTCTCCTCGTCGGACAGATCACACCTGTGGAGTCAAGTCCAAATGTCGCCTGCAGTGGAACCGCATGGGTCTGTCGTTCTTTAGCAGGGTTGATGAATGTTGTTAGCTATTACATTTTTTACACCTTTCTCTCTACTACGTCGGGGAACACACGCAGTAAGTACGGCAACCTCACAAATGTCACACAGTCGCTTTCCTCCTCGCTGAGGAAAGAGAGAATTAGTGGGGGGGGGGAAAAAACAGAAGCAGGTGAAGTTAGAGATAAGCCACGTCTGAAGCAAGCGTTTGTGCCGCTCTGATGACGAATCCCTTCTGAGTCAGAGTCTTGAAACCCCCCAAAATGATCATGTTACAGAATTTGAAAGCATCTGGTAGCAGCATTGCTGATGCAGTCGAGATGAAATCCCTAATGTCGATTCAGATTGTTGTTTTGTTTACACACTACAGACATCACAGGTCACAGGTCAAGCGCCGACTCAGAAGGGAAAGAAAAGACAACTGGCAACCAGATTATTTTTAATTTTTAACTCCTCTCACCACACAAAGACAGATTTGGGGGACCTATGCCATATGTTGATTCAAATGCATAACAAGGGAAATTGGGTGTCAAAGTGAATCTGACTTCATTCAATCACAGCACAGACGATAGCAGATATTCCCCCCGGCCCCCCCGCAGCCCACCCGCAGCCCCAGAGAAAGACAGAGGCCGGCATGGCAGGCAGAACCCCAGAGAAAGTGCCACACGTTACCTCTTCTGCGGCCATAGCTCCGGGCTGCTTGTCAGCACAGTGGGGGGAAGGTGGGGGGGTAAACACGAGGAGAGGCGGAGAGGGTTGGGGCAGGAACAGGGGGAGGAAAGAGATACAGAGACATGGGTTTTGTTGGAAATAAACCAAAAAAAGGCCAGGAACATCTCTAAGGCAACGGAGAAACCACAGATGGCCACGCCTAAGCTTTGGCAACGGGAGGAGAGCGATTATCACGGCAGTCCTCCGTAAACCTGCTGCACCTGCGTTGGCAAAGAAACACTCATGCACATGCTGTGGGAGTGGAGCGCCATGGGCGAGGGGTAGTTACGGAAAATGTTTTAGATATTTAGGGGCATATCGCGACGCCCCACAGACCAGGATCGTAATCTTGGATTAATGAGCCCACAAGTAGCTGGCGCTCATGATTGCCTTCTGTCAATTTGTCCATAAATGAGGCCATAGAGCAGAGTGCATGCAGGACCGAGGGCCGTGCAGGTTAGTCATTATCATGGCCTCGGTGGAATATTAAAACGCTGCTCTCGGGCCAGCTACGGCAGGCCAGGTGCGAGTGGAAACTTCCCACAGCGGAGAAGAAGGGTAGCAGCTCTAAAAGAGGGAGGATGGGAGGCAGGCAGAAAGGGAAAGTCGGGAGAGCGAGGCTTCAATGTCGGGGGCCAAACCGATCGGAATCTACGGCGAGGCGAAGGGACAGCTTCTACCTAATCATCTAATATCTGAATCATTTCTCTCTCATCTCTTGTGTTACAGTAGCAGTGACTACATGGGAGTCTTAAGAAATAATTAGAACTGCTTTTCCCAGAGCTTTTAACCACATTTCACAGTCCTCTCCGAAGCCCCATGAATACTGAGCAACCGCCATCTGCTGAAGACCATGAGAGCTGTTTTGCTTCATTCTTTTTGTCAAGAGGAGCTACATTGTTCCCTGTTAAGGTCCAGTTGTTTGCTTTCTGCTCATCACGGTCTTCTCGCCGTATAAAACCACCTGTTATCACACGATTAGATTTTCACTAATTAGCTTGCTTGAAGACAAATGAGCCATTTCCGTGACAATCATGCAAACGCCATCTGGAAAGACTGCAATATTTAATTGGAAGCTCAGTATCACTACGAGTACATCAAGGTGAACTCCTACTGCTTTCTCCCCATGTAATACCGCCTGTTATCCCTTGGCAGCACATCTATCGGTAGGCCTCAGCAAACTCCACTAACTGAGAAGATCTTAATGTGCGAGATCAAAAACACTGCCTCTTGTTTCAGGAGTGATGTCGTTTCTACGCTGCGAAACCTTCCCACCTCACGCTCAATGTGATTCAGCCGTGCTTAGAATGCAAGCAACCCGCGAGGCAAAATGTGCCGTAAGATCCTCCAAACGCATCGGTCATAAAGCAGACCCATCGCCTCAAAAACCAATATGGGCCTTTTCATTGTGAGAGCCCCATTGTGTGACTGGCCCCTCTGGCTTCTCTCGGGGAATATATTGTCTCTGAGCCTCTTCTTCTCTCTTGCTATGTTTTCATTAAAAAAAGATCTGTTTCTCCAATCCTCCCCCCCTAACCCCTGCACCAAATAAAACCTGGGCCGCCTCTCGGCAGCATTGCCCTCTCGCCGCCTGGCCTCAGCAGAAACAAAGTCACCTGGCAACCCGGGAAAAGTGAAGAAAACGGTGCGTGGGAAACCGTCACAGGACGAGAGCGCTTTTGAAAGAGATTCCTTTGGGCACGATGAGTTTGAGGATCCCCGCTCTGCTCGGCTTCAAAGCCTCAGACACTTCCATTAAGCTCTCAGGTTAGCACCACCAATAAATCGGACTAAAGGACCTCCGCTTACCAACTCTTTTATTGACATCCTTTCTTCACCACTTCAAGTGCTAAACCCAGCCGCAGAAAGCAGGCGCCCTTACAAGTTCTCGCATTAGAGAGCCTCGGAGCTAATGGGGCGAGATGAAGGAGAAACACTTTGGAGTTTAAAGCACAGCTTCCCTGTCTACAACCGTCGCCGGCTACGGCAGGGAGAGACGCTCCTGAAGGACTTGGAAGATCTGGGCCCATCTCAAGAGTTTCCTATTCCCATGACACAACCGCTTCACGTCCATCTGGGACACGTTTTCCTCGGATACGCGCGATGAAGAGCGGAGGAAACGGGGGGGCTTCGCTGATTCGGTCTGATCCTCAGTCAGTCCAGACGACCATATTTTTGTCAGGTTTGAATCAAAAAGATGACAAACACGATTATCCCCTTAGAACTGGGAACCATGTTGGGCCTGAAGACCATGGCCCAAAGGAACATGAGCGTCTAGGAGACTAATAAATGACGTCCCTAAGCACATTCACCAGCTAAAGAGCACTCGGAATGGCGGGGCCTGATAAACCTTGTGGCATCCATGTAGTCACATGTCGGAATAAAGAGCGGATTTATGCCTCTGGCTCGTCTCCCGTCGTTGGCTGGCGGGACACCGGGGAAGGGGGGGGGGGGGGTCTAGATTTACATGCAGGGGTATTTTTGGAAGTGCTATTCACAGGTCATGTAGGCTTTGCCCCAGTGCTTGGAGGTCTCTCCTAGGTTTATGGTGTCAGGGAATAGAGACATGAGCTAAGGGGTAGCCAAATGGGCTTTGGGCGTACAACGGTTAAAAAACAACAAAAAGCTACTGCAGTAGTTCTTTATTTATGGAGTGACAAAATAAGATTTGCCTTGCTTCTTTCAATTTGCTGATTTCCTTCGGAACATGTAGGCATTCAAGATATTTCACACTTTTCACATAGGTGTCTCCATTTAAACAAATGTATCAGTACAACTGAGACGATTGATGAACTCCAGAGAGAGAATAAGATGATGGGCAGAACATTGAAATTTGACTTACCGTTCAGTGGCATTATGTGCTCTGCTCCAGGATGATGAAAGTTCAGGCCCATGCGTCCTGTCCAAGAAAGCAAAAAGAGAAAAGATTTCACAAAATGGGGAAAAACACGTGAATCAGTGATAAAAGACGCCATATTTCCATTCTACAGCAACGGCAAAACACCAACTATGAAGAAATGTTTAACATTAAAGGAATACACGCCAAATTTACTGATGATACAATGGCACAAAGGACGAACAGACAGCAGCAAAAGAAATGGTATTCTTTGTTGTCACATATCTCATACACACAAATACTCACACACATAGAAACGCACTAAAAAATATATTCTTTTTTAGGCTCCAGATTGAAAGTCTGAGATAAAAGAATGCATTATTTGATACTGTGACGGGAGTGGGATCCAAAACTATTGTTTAAAAAATGGTCTTTAAGGTCTTTAAGGAGCTAAATGTTTGAGGTTGAACGTACAACATTTTGGGGGGGGAATAGGAGTTTTAATGAAATACTGTATGCATCAACAGAAACAAAAATATCATAAAATGAGAAATCCCCAAATGCTCATAGTAAGGAAAAACTTTTAGTTATAATTTTATTAAAAGCGACACACTTCCATTGAAACACCAGTGAGCCTCAGTGTTGTTCCTTCATTGCATTCAATATACACACATTGGAGTTTATTTGGATCCAAATTGATTCCACCATATGTACAGACGCAAGCGCCCACGCACATGCAGCTATATGGCTAGGAATTTATCACAGCGCGCATTCTGTTGCGGTGGCAACGTGTGCCTGTTGGAAGGGCCCATCTGTCAGTGCTTTACGGGGAGAGGGTACGGTGTGGGACAACAAACAGGACGTCTTCCTGGTTGCCATCGTCCAATATGCAGAGGCGACGACAAGACAAATCGGGCACTTGAGCCGACGCAGAAACAGCCTACGCCGCTCAGCAGTCTCAATGTCAACATCTTTTGCGGTTGCAGCCGCAGAGCCACACCCTTGATCCCGGACCACTTAAAATTGGGGCCCTGTGTCAAAATCCGCCTACAGAAAGCTTTTTACTTAACAAGCATGCGGCGTGCCAAGAGTCATTTAGGAAAGGCAAGGTGAAGCAACTCATTCAATCTGTTACACGTCAATATTTGGCAAATGCGCAGCCTTTGCGTGCCTGCGACGCCAACACCGGGGGGCTGGTTAGGACTTGGGGTTAAGGGGGTTAAATGCAACCGAGATGATCTTGCTTGGTGTGTGCTTCTCCATGCGTAACGTGGACTTTGAGTGGCGTGTTGCAAGCTACTGTGTCGCAAACAAGGGGAGACGTCGACAGTTTCCCAATTTGGCCGCAGAACACGGACAGTGGGGGGCGGGAAAAGAAGATGCGCAAACAAGAGTGGAAAACTAGGGGCGACACCTGGTTGAAAAACCATAGTGGAAGGGTAGGGGGGGGGCAACCACCCTGCAGCGGCCACAGATGTGGATTCCCTCACTCCTCTCAGCCAGCCGCCAGAACCCAGGCAACAGTAGGGCTCGAGGGCAAATGGAGTGCAACAAGTCCATACATTGACATACAAGCGTTTGTTTAGACACGTGCGCCCAGTCTCACATTATCTTTACTCTCTCCGACTTATCGTCAAACCAGATGTACCCAATGTGGGGAGGGGGAGGGGTCCAGCGTTGCGTCCTGCCACGGAGGGGTTTTTAACTCTCTTATCGTGTGTATTGGTAATTGTGTGGGTGGACTGTTTGTTAGTCTTCCGACCAAATTAGAGCTTTAAAGGCCAAACGTCTGACCGAGTCCCGTACGGCTGGGGAGCAGACAGTGCCCCTCGACCTAGTTGCTTTTGGTTGAGCAAAAGGGAGGAATCCATAAAATCCCTCGGAAACTAGGACAGTTCAAGAGTCACAGCCCTGGCTCGTCTTATCGGAGGGCAAAAAACCACACTGTGGTCTGAGCTCGCCTTTCGATCAACATTAGACATTTGGGGGGGTTGACAGAGGGGGACAGTTGTCCTAAAGCCTGAAAATAGCTCTGGGCATGCGTCATCTGCTTCCCCCCCCCGAGAGTTGAGTGGCAGGTCCTCAGTGGCCCCCCAAAGTTAATGCTGATGCCGCTGCTGTCCTGGTGACATATCCTCGCAGAGAGCCTGAGCTATTCTCAAGCTGCCCTCGGTGGTCGCATAGCGACACGTCTGCTCAGGAAACACGCCATCCGCTTCCGTACGCGGATCCAACAGTACCTCGCCTTTTCACGTGGTCTGTCAGTCTGCGCAGACTGGACGGGGAGCTTGCCGTCAACACTTTGGTACAAATAGGAGGACGAGTAGGGGAAGGATTAGCTGGACATAGCCAGTGGCTATTAATATGGGGTTTAAATGTTTCATTATGGGGAGCATGTTAAGCCAAATAAGGTTGCACGCAACATCAGCTGCATAATTTAAAGGGCTGTCAAAAAAAATATATATATATATCCAGCATCAATGGCTATTAACAGCTAAAAGACAGTTAAAAGACTAGACAGCGAAGAAGAAGGCTTGCTCATAATTACATTAATAACACAACTGAGTTGTCAGGATCAGCTGATCCTGACCAAAAACCGCATCCACCATTGTGTTGGACAACCAGCGGTGCACAGGTTTTGAGAAATCAGTCAAGGAAAACAGGATTGGGACCTTTGAAGAGACCTCTTCAAAGTTACACGAGTTGTGCGCCTCTCTGAGGAACCCCAACGGCGGCCCTCCTGAAGCTGTTCTTGAGCACTACGGTCCCTCCGTTCCACGTTTCAGCGCTCATGAATACACGACCTCCCCCCTCCCCCCCGAATACACATCTAGGAGAAAGCCCCAGGAGAAAATATGAGAGCGGAAAGAGGGCGCCCCAAAGTTCTAATGCCACAAAAGCTTTCAGTTCACACTGCTGCAACAGAAAAGAAGGGATGACAACACCGACCGAGGGGCATGCGTATGGCAGGCAGCCGACAGACGACTGAGTGTGTTGGATGTTTCTGTAAGAACCTGGCGAGAGAGTTATTTGTGTGTCTCGGTCTGTCAGAATAGGCCACTTCTTCTCCTTTTATACTCGCGCCAGCTGAACTCAACAACCCTCGACATGACAGTTACAACCGGTCCAAAGTTCCTTCTCTCTGTCAAGCCGAAACATGAAAAACGATTTGAAATGAAGTTGCAGTATGAAAACGCGAATGGTTGAGGCATATTTCCAGAAGCGAATTCCCAAATTTATATAATAGTAATGTAGTATTTCCAGAATGGGGTTAAGCCGGACGTGCAGAAAAAGCAATTGTTTCAATTGTATTTCATGCCCTGTTGGATCTTGACTGAGCACAGTTTTAATAGACGAAACATGTCCAGGCTTGTTTTGTTGCCTCCACTAGATTAAGCTCAGTCATGCTTAACGGAGTCATGCATGTTCCCCCTTAACAATGCAAAGCCCTCTGACAGCATAGTTGATCAGAGGCATGGAGGGATTAACCTTTAACACCGGCAACAAACACATCATCTTATCTCAATACATCCGGCTGTTTAAAGTACAGGACGCGGGTGTTAAATGAACTATGATGGTTGAAGAGTTGAGAGGGAGATTCCACCTCCTTGACCTAATTTTTAAAAAATTGACCTTTTACCTCAGGTCAAGCTGCGATGACACCTCTACGTACATGAACCAAGACAAAAGATGCCGTCCTTCTCTTAGAAACAAACATGATGTTAGAGGTGCTGGCAGAGACAAAGGTAGTGTTTTTTCTTGCTCAAAGCTAAAGTTTTATGTAAAACCATTATACTTTAGCTTCACAGGAGACCTTTACACCAATCAGAGTGAGACGTTTGGGCTATGAAAAGTCAAAAAAAGAGGACAAGATAAGGAGATCTATTCCTTCTGATCATCGAAGCACCTTCCCACTGTTCTGAACTACTACACGTGTCATTCTTGTTACCATGTTGACATTTATACTCTTATTCTATGCTCTCGTTGACAAGTGAACAAAGTGAAACAGCACCGACAGTAGAGCTCCCTGAACTACTGACATTGACGGCTCCTTCTACCTGTTACAGCATTACTGTATACGTAAGGTTGACAGTTGGTAGTACAAGTTAGTTCTTTGATGAAAGGGTTCACAACATGGTCTGTAGATTAGTAACATTAGAAGTAATGTATTAAATGTATTATTTTGGTGTATTTCCCAATTCACACCAAAACAATCTAGATGATCCACAGCAAAGGAAAAATGACATATTTTTGATTTTGGGCAGAATTTTAAAAAGAACTTTAAATTTGCATTAAGGGTGACAAAGTTTTAAAAGTCACACTCACAAACACAAATTGTAACTGATGCATGAGTAAGATTATGTGAGTCAGACCAGCTGAGTCAATGTGTGTGTGTCTGTGTGTGTGTGTGTGTGTGTGTGTGTGTGTGTGTGTGTGTATAGAGACTTTGTGGGTAGGGCGGGATCTACGCCCAGCTTCTATGAAGATTTAAGGGACTTAACACTTTTGAGCATCTCAAATGTTAGTGGCAACATTGATGTGGTGTGTGTGTGTGTGTGTGTGTGTGTCTATGTTTATAAGTGTGTATGTAGGTGTGTGCGTGTGGGGAGTGGCATGGAAGATGCAGACACAGTGTCATGGGCGAAAGAGTGTGTGACGGGAGAGCGCTTAGCATGGAATGTCACAGTTGATATGCATGTCAGAAACAATTTGGATATGGGTTGCCTGTGTGCCTGTGTGCGTGTGTGTGTGTGTGTATGTGTGTGTGTGTGTGTGTGAGACCATTTCAGCAGCAGCAGGGGTGGTGGACGTTGTCAAACTGCCAGTGTTTTTCCAGGCCAAGGGGAGAATCTCTGGTGTGTGTTTTTGTGTGTTTGTGTGCTCTCCACATGTGAGTTCAGCTGACCGAGTCCAGGTACTACATGCAGACTAATGCGTGTGTGTGCGTGTGTGTGTTGCCACAAAAACGACCCGTTTGTTCAGGGCTTTTAGAAAGTTTTAGAGGTTTGACAGTATAAAGTGTCTTGCTCGCCAACAACACACACACACACACACACACACACACACACACACACCTTTGAAGCGGACTCTTCCACAAACAAGTGCTAAGAAAAGAAACTGGTTGAATCGAGAAGCCTCGCCCTCCTCCCTGTTTTGACAGAGAGACGGAGGGGTGTTGGTGGGGTCACCCCCCGCTTCCTCACCCCACCGATTTATATCTGAATCATGGTACAAGTGCTTTTCTTTTTTTAAAGACAAACACAGGAACACACACAAGGACTGGTAAAACAACCATTCCAGTCACATTGTTTTATAGGGCTAATAATAATAAATAATTTTACATTTTGGCCCGGGGAGCAATTGGTGGTTGGGTGTCTTGCTCAGGGACACTCAAACCGCTAACACGGCGGTTCCCAGCGCACCCGCTCTACCCAAGCGCCACCGTCAACCCGCTAACCACCAGCATGATAGCAGTACCAATAAAGCACTTATACATTGTATAAGTAATACCTTGCAGTACCTTGAATGCTTCATTTGATGCTTGCATGTAAGAATTTGGTAGCATGAAATGCCACGCCAGCTGTTGGGTTGCATAGCCATGCTCCTCCTGTACCACAGCACGCTGGTTTGGATTAACCCCTGCCTTTGCAACCGACCAAACCCGACAAGTACTGCCAACTACTTAAAAATACAAAATTTGTCATATTTGCCCCAACTCTTCAAGAAGTGACAGTAGATGAAGGATGACTGGAATGGACCGAACTGGACCTGACCTGACCTCCAAGATTTACACAACAAAGTGGGCCAGCTATTTGGGGTCAGGAAGCAAAAATTCTTCCCCGGAGTGCAGAGCTTGTAGTAGAAGTCCTGGTCTACAGGGACCTCCCAATTTGAAAAATCTATTGCTCTCCATACCTGCTCCGTCTCCACTGTGTTTGGATAAACAAATCACTGGGGAAGCCCTGCAGGATATTACGATACCTTCCCACTGAGGTTAGCTCGGGCCAGGAAGACCATTGCGCCCCAACAATGCTCTCTGAGCACGAGATCTGGCAAACAAGACTCCACGCATGATGAAACTACATGCTCTGCTCATTATATTTCTCCCCCACCAATCGTTCCATTGCTGAGGTGGGAAGATGGAGGTGGCATAACAACCTTACACCCGACCTGAGAGGGCCCCATCTGGAACACTTGATCCAGAGCTTTTACAGCCGGCCCGTGATCTGTTCTACGAAAACATTAGCTTAGAAAGGTCTGACATACGTTGGACGTCCTTGGAAGGGTTTGAAGATATTTGATATCTGATGGCTATTTTATGATTTCAGAAATGCTCTAAAGTTACAAGGAGGTAAAACGTAAAGGTAATGTAGCGTGAAGTCCTTTAAGGTTGAATCTGGTTGAATCACTGACTGGATTCTGAATCTATGGCAGGTCATGGCATGTCCAGGCCAACAAGTACAGTCAACAAATACAGTATAGGCCTTGTGACATTTTCATGCAATCCACTGATTTCAATGTGATGTAACCGGTAAAGAAGAAGAAAGGGAGAAAGATAATGCTATTAGCGAGTAAGACCACCCGAGTGCATTTTGCAGCACACCTGGTCTAAAACATGCAACTAAACACACACACACACACACACACACACACACAATTTTGCAGGTAAGGCTCATAATGTTATTAATTAATTAAAAAGAATTAGTCAAAAAAAAAGAACATTATCCGAGAGTCAAGAGATTGGCAAATAGAGCAAAAGAAAAACAAATGCACTAAGAGATGACATATGCTCAGGAAGCAAAAATAAAAATACGGTAAGCATGGACGTATGAATATTCCTAACCTGCAAAATGATTCCTCCATATAATATCAGCGATAGTCATTGGTGGGCCACCGGCAGGGTGTGGTTTACCTTTGTCATGGTCAGTCCTTATCATATCCATTAAGGAACTCTCCAAAGAGTGCAAGCTAAAAGCATCAAAGGGCCGATTCCGGTCCTGCAAAACAGCAAAACAGGAAGAGGGTTAGGATTGTATATCATACACAAAGTATTGAAGGTTATGAGGAAAAGAGTAATTACGTACCAGAACTTAAATGCAATGAATGAATATGTTTCATGTGGAGTTAATACGCAATGCTTAGTGTGATAAAACAATAAAGTGCAAGAAAAAACAGTGAGAGACTGAATCAAATGTTTCCCAAATCTTCCCCAAATAATCAGAATCACCAACATAGTGGAGAAAACCTTGTATGAATAAAATGGGCTTCAAAAAAAACCTGGCAAAACTTTGCCCTGCTGTTGAAATTCTGGCTGGTTGCTCATTTTGCTCAAAGGCAAATACTTGCAACAACAGCATGTACCAACAGCTCTCCACTCTTAGCTGGTATATACTAATATCAATTAAAGATTTGAGACTAGAACAAGTTTTACCAGTAAAAGCAGGGAAATTGGTGTCATCCCTAAGAATGATGGTAAATGTAAAGAAGACATGAGTCTTAACTTTGAGCCTTTACATATCAATAAGTTACAATGAAATCCCTGATAGGAATTAGCCAGAGGAGACACATCTGTCAGGGCGGGTTTATCATTTAGTACAGAGGTTTAGAGTACAGGCAAATTGAATCTATAACAGCTACTCCAGGGGCTTTCTCCGTTTTGACATGTTGATCAATTATTCGGCTGAAGAGGACCCATTAAAGCTGTAGGAGACTAATAGGAGTTTTGTCCCTATATTTGTTAATTATTAGATGAATGAATCAGAAATGAAAAAGACCAACAATTTGATAATCAATTGTTTCAAATGTTCTGCTTTTAGATTTTCAAATGTGAAGATGTGGGCCTTTACAGTCCTCTATAATAACAGGTTAACTAGACTGTTGGTACAACAAAACAAGTAATTTAAAAAAAAGATCTCTAGGCCTCCGGTTACCTATTTTGTAGACCAAGGGATTGATCAAGAACACATCCTTCATCAAGAAAAGATGAATCTCAAGCAGAAGCCCCAGATGCAAAAAAACTAAACAAACTCCTCTGCATGTGAAGGCCAAAGGAGGAAGCACCGGCATGTATTTTCTCTGGTTATTTTATTAAACCTCTCTAAACTAATTCCCTGCTCTGCCTGAGCGGCCCTGTCCGGGTGCCCGGGCCCCGGGGCCACATTGTTTGCACACCACAGCTTTTGTTGCCCATTCGGCTGAGCATTCAAAAGCGTTATTCCCTCCACTCTGAGCCCGACAGCGCCACGTAGATAAAAATCTGCCCACTTGGTACAAACGGTAAACACTTGAAATGCTGAGCTTTTAGTTCCCCCCCCTCACACACACACACACTGTGGACGAGAACAGTGACGGGGGGGGTCGGGTGCTCAAGTGACCTAAAGAGATCATATCCTCTATACAAAGGTCTCCAACAGTCTTCACCGTTTAAGGATCGTAAAGTGTAGTATCTCAACTTCACTGGAGCTCATCCTGCTTCGTGGCATTGGAGCCCGATTGTCTGCGAGGGGGGGGGGTCGTGATGAGAAACAGACTGAATACCTGTTGCTAATGAGTTTAGTCTGCTCAGTAGGGAAACATCTAAGGCTGCCAGATGCAGAGGCAGCGGGGTGAAAATATCATCGATTGCCTTCTCCCTTTCGCAGCCGTCCAAGTCCCATCTGCAAATTCACCCATCACATATGAAGGCAAAGCAACGTCAAGATCCGAGAGCACAGATCATCAAACATACGCGAGCGAAAGTCGGTCTCGAGCGAGCAGAAGTCACGTGACAGCGTTGGCTCAGTTTCACTTCAGTGAAGGGGACACTTGGCATTTGGCTGCCCGACCTTGCATCTTGGTGATAACTCTCCTACAATTATAGGTGTAATTGCTAAACGTCTAAGTGTGAATTACAGGCAGGGTGACATTGCTGATGTCTCCAACCCTTGTCAGATGGCGATCATATGTACAGACTGCATGTTTACTTCCTGTCAGCTGATGCGGTTCGCATACACCGATCGCATACCGTTTATAAATACAAGTGATTTTTAAAGCATTAAAACCTGCTTTATAATAATGTCCGACTGCCTCAATGTGTTACATTTAAAACAGAATTCAATGACCAAAAGCAGAAAACGTTTCGACTTTAAAAAGGCTGCTTCCAGCTAGTTTTTGCAAAGTGAAGAGGCCCTTTCTCTCCCTTGATTAACCATTTCAAATCTAACTGGCACATCGGAGAGTGAAGTAAGGTCACTTCAACCCCAATGTTTTATCTGGACACACTTGACCACACCAGAGTGGATGACTGTTCTTCATCCCTGTTATTTACCAGAGTTTCACATCAGCAAACATACAGCATACAACTCGTGGCCCCCTGACCTTGTCTCCCAGTGCCGTGAGCAGAGGCAAGAGGAAACAGATCGAGGCACTCAGCAGACGTGTAATAAAGCCTCCGGAGGCCGAAGTGACACACACACAATCATTATCTCCTCAAAAGGCTACACGTTTCAAGGCAGTTGGAATTTCACACTGCGCCGGACTGCGTTGTGTCTGCACATGTACGCCTCTCAGCACTAACTTTGATCGGGTGAAGGGCCGGGAATTCAGCTGGCTTTTTGTGTGTTGGCTTGTTTGTAAGACAGCGTGACTACACATTGTCTGGGAGGATTAAATAACCCTTTTTCTAACTAGAGATATCTTGCCGTAAAGCTACTCAGTGGTTATTTTCTAGTATAAGAACAATTTGTATGCTAATTAATTAACTATTAGCATCAGGTGACTCACATGCAGAAACACGCCCATATATTAGTGTCGGCACATTTTTTGAAACTCATAGGAGCTTATTATTGTTTATTCTTTGTGTAAAGGCAAATAGACAACAAAAACCTCCCTCTACTTTCAGAGTTCGACACTATATCAATATCATAATTTATAGCCATTTCAATCCTCAATCAAAGCCGCGCCCCTTTTCTGATCCCAAGCCAATCACCATCCACGTATGGACGTTGCCTTCAGGTACTGTCCAATAATCCATTGTGTATTCTTTCTAAAAAATAATCTCAACAATCTTTTGTTTTAATTTACTGTATCGTATTTTATAAAACACATTATTGAAAACAATAACTTATTCCTCATCACAGGGGCGAGCTGGTAATCCAGTGTTTACCACCGGGTCCGCTCAATGTGCATTGGGAAGGTTACGAGCAGGACCTGAACGCGTCACGTCTCTCTTTCGCCCCACTGGCACAGCGAGGTTAACCGTTTAGTGCAGCGTGTCGTGCACCGCGACTATTTCTAGGACCGACTCGTTACGTCTGGCCCTGAAACGAGTAAAAATAGCAATGACCGATAGTTGTTGCTTCAAGAACTCGCTGTCTCATTCGATTATTTTGACCTTCACCGCTCAATATGTCAGAAGAGAAGCCGGGCTGAAGTGTTTACTCTCGCCGGCAGCTGAATACTGAGTTACAGAAATCAATTCAACGAGCTCCTCCGAAGGCTTAAAACCCTTTAACCAGCGGCTGTGCACAAAATGACAACGTGTATGACTGATGCCATGAAAAGATTTTTTGGAATTGCTACTTTTACAGTCGACTGTGCCACCGACTCAATCACTATAATCAATGCACCAATGAATCAATGGTTCCAATGAGTTCAGGGTGACCTTAGGGAGATCATACTCTGTATAGGCTTTTTTTAAATTAGTTCCCCTCTGATATATAAATATACTATCGAAAATCATCTATACTTGATGGGTGCACCAAAAGGGTAAAACTGGCACGTCAAAGGGGTAAACATTTAAAGCAGTAGAGGAAGGCCTAGGCCTGCTCCTATGCTGCTCTTTACCTGGAAAGGCAGTATGTTGTTGCTGTTGTCAGTCCTGAACGCGCTGTCATCCATCCAGGGCTTGGGGGCGAGGGGACCGGGTCTGGGGAATTTGGGGGGGGCGATAACATTGCTGGAATACGGCTTTTTCATGGGGGATATGGGATTCATCGGGGACGGCACCCCGACGCCGACTCCGACGCCGACTCCGACCGCCCTGCGCGGGTCCCGGCCGGCCTGCAGCCCGCTCCACGGGTTGGAGGCGGTGCTCCACGCGGCGTTCTGGTGATTATTCCAAGCGGACGACGAGGCAGCAGAAGAAGACGACGACGACGACCCCTTGCCGTTATTCATGACGGTGTGATACGCGGTTCTCTGGGGAAAGGGCCCCTGACTGGGGCTGACAGGGGACCTCCTCTGCTGCTGCTGCTGCGCCGGCTGTGGATGCTGTTGGGTCTGCGGGGCCAGACCTATCTGCGGGGAGAAATTACCCCCGAAGACCGGGTTGACGTGGTGGGGGAAGTTCTGGAAAAGCATCGTCCCGTTCACCGAGGGTATTCCCTGGAAAAAGCTGTCGTCCACGGCGCTTGTGGTTCCCGTGGACCAAGTGCTCCCAAAGGAGGAGGAGGAGGAGGGCGGCGAGGAAAGGGGGCCGCCGGTCTCCTGTGGCTGGTGGTGGAAGCTCAACCCGGGCAAGATCGGCGACTCCATCGGCACTTTGTCCTTACTGCTGCTGCTCGGCGCTGACACCGCGAGGTAGCGCCCGGTCGACGGGCTCTCCGACTCCGACGAGGAAGAAGTGGGCTCCGACGACGGGGTCGGGGCGCAGGGAGGGGGGTCTACTTGGGTTGGATCTTGCAGATTGTGAGGCTGGGCTTTGTTTTTGTCCATCAGTAAATCATCCTGCATGGTTTGCTGAGCTGCAACGAGGGGGGGGCGGGGGGGGGGGGTGTAAAAATAGAGACGAGGAGTTATTATTACGCTTTATTCGTATTATTGTTATCGTTTAGGAGCTCCTGCAGCAGGCTCGCGGGGCTGCTTGGTATCTGATGAACTCCGACGAGGATATGATGTTTAAAGGACCAAGGGCAACTGCGACGCGAGTGCGTGGTCACACATTTAGCCGACAAAAAGACGGAAAGGAGGAAAAACACACTTGCCAAGACTGCACCAGAAACATGCATACGTGCCACAAATTAAACACGGAGCATATGGCTGCGCATATTCACCAGATTTCGCCACGTCTTTCCTTCCACGCAGGAACTCCGGAGCTGCAATGTGAAACTGATTCTGCGTGTGTGTGTGTGTGTGTGTGTGTTTGCCGTGGAACCTCCCCTATATTCATTCATACGTCAGTAAATACAGCTGTCCTCCAGCAAGACTAAACGACAGGTCTACCTTGACCCAGGCACTTTGACACACGCACCCGGCAGAGAAACGGAAACGACGTCCGCCAAAAGGCACCTTTTTACGCAGTGGAAAGTGACGCGGCAGAAGCGCTTTATTGCACCGCGAAGACGTTCCACGTACAAACTGTCCCCTTACGGCGCAGAATGCGTCTTCGACTGTATTAATACCCCCAGCAAACCAAACGTCAACAGCCTCATGAGTAAAGTACGTTTCACTGGTCAATTGAGCAACACTCAATATTAAACTCCATACACGAATTATAGGATTTATGAGCTATGGTAGTTTATTATGGCGCAAAGGGAAGAGCTGCCCGAGGTGCGCATTTACACAGCACACAAATATGCACTGGCGTCTGGCATTTGAATAACTTAAAGACTGCAGAACATTTCATGCAAAATTCTCCTTTACTTTGCATTTCAGACTACGCCTTGAAAAAAAAGCCCCAATGCCACACAACCAGTCCGGGTAATATCAGAAGGGCAATTTTGCATTCAAAGAGCCGCAGTTGCCACGTTATAAAAGTCAGCAGTAATCTAAAATAATATGTTCGATCACCTCGACGCTTCTCTTCTAGCATGTGAACATTCTGTCCGCTGGGGGACAAAACCTGGACACAAAGTCAAATCGCCCAATGGTGAAATTGTGCTCACTTTAAACACCACAAAGATACACTCACAGGCTCCTTTTTGACTATCGCGACACGTCTGCAGGAGGGCTAACACCCAACAGGGAGGCCTGTCAATAACACGTACGCAATAGTCTGTGGACCTTTGACAAATAACACTTCGGATGACAACCCGGAATAGACGTCCATGGTGTATTCGCAAAAGGCTGCACAGCACACCCACCCACCCATTTACCGGTGTTTTCTCCTCCTAGAGCTGCGCTTCCAAGGTCATCAAAGCGGCATAATCAGCAGACTGGACCGGCCCCTTTGCCCCAAAGCAACGCCTCGATCAAATGCCTATTCATCGCGCTGACCGGATTCCTCATCCGGTACTTTTCATGAGGCTGCCTTGTCTTGAAGTCCCCCTTTAATCCATATGTGTTCCCTTCCCCACAAACGACAAAAAAACAACAACAACCCAAACGCATGCACACACACAAACACACGCGCACACAGCGTTGTCGCTTCACTGCAATACGGGCAGTTGGTATTACCTTTATCGTTCACCTTTTGGGGGTTCAAAGATATTTCTATTTGCCTCGTCTGGGTTTAGATATGACAAACGAGCTTCCCCTGTGCCGAGATAGTCAGCAGTTGCCTACAACAGCTGATTGACTGCGGCGCATGGATGATGCCGAGGGGGCTGTCGGGAGTTGTAGTTTCTCACTATGCAGAGGCTCGTCAACACATATGTAGCCTATCTTCTGTATGCTTGACTACTGTGGTTAAAGCCAAACACCCCCCCCCATCAGTTTCAAAGCACGAGGCAACTAGTTAAAGCAGCAATGATAAAAGATAGTGAAAAAAGAATAACAAATCACTTTGTGTGACAGACAGTGAGCATTACAGTGGTATGAATTAATTGCATCAATTTCGTAGTGAAACTTGATTTGACATAACAATAACATACTTTCATATTCAACTAAAGAAAAGCAGCAAATGTATGGAGCAAACACTTTGTCCATTATATTGCAGCCTCATTGAAACATCTTACCGCCGTTAGAAGTGTGCTGTAGCCATATGTGCATCTTCATGATGGCTGTATCTTCAAGGAGCCGTGGCACTCTATGGCACATCTGCCGGGAGTGGATTCAGAACATTAATTTGATATTTTGGTCATGGGAGGGAGGTGATCCTTACGGAACTACATTTCCCCTCGCTAGTGGAACGGTGCCCTTTGCGCTGTCCTTGTTTTGATGACGCAGCCGCGTCCCGTGTGACGTCACCTCAGGGACGGCCAGCTAATGGAGTCAAGCGGACACGCCGACGCGAAAAGACTTCTGCGAAAACGAAACCGCTGCCGGTGTAAATAGGAGTTGTTGTTTCACCTGAAATAGTTCACGCACGCTGTCGGGGCTGAAATGACCGCGGAGGAATAGTTGAATGCGAAACAATTGGCTCATTTGCAGCTGACTCTCCGTTTCAGCACGAAGGCCTATGTAGCTAGTTAGCTTCAGCTAGTTAGCACGTTATTTAACGCTAACCACAGCTGCGGAATGGTGCTTTAATGTTTAACCTGTAACGCCCTGCGTGTGTCCTGCCAACAAGACGGTTTATTTTGCCTTTCTAACGACGATGGCGGAACACGACTCGGAAGCAATGCAGCAGAATCTGGACAGGTGAGTTCAAGTTTATGGCTAACTTGCTAATGGCAGAAACATAGTTTTAACGTTACCTAAAGTCACCGCGGTAGGAAAGAGATTGGGGGCAAGTTCCTTTTCCTCCAAACACGTCCATGCGTTAGTTGACCGGTCATGCAACTACCGGTTCACAGCGAGTCCTCGTATAAAACCCGGTTTGAATGTCATTAACGTTAGTTGACCGTTAGCCGAAGCCCAGTTGTTGATACTTGAGTTCTTCCGTTACTTCTGTCATGTGATTAATATCGTTACTCCATGACGGGATGTTAACGTCATACCTGCATATCACTGGGACCACGCACTCCCCTAAACGTTATAAACACCAAATACCGAACGGTAACTCCATATATTGTGCTCCTCTACAAACGTCCACCCACCCAAATGAACAACGGCTACGTTACTTTTCTCAAACCTTTGACCTTAATAACTATGGACGCTCTCTGAACGGGTCACGTACGTAGTTGGCACTGATTATGGCCCAGAATGTGTGAACCGTCTGCCTATCTTCTGTTAGTAATGCTCAGAATACCATTTTCATGTGAAGTTGACTTTATTTCCCCTGGAAACGTAGGACGTAGACAGACGCCGCTTCATACAACAGCCAACACTTTAGCATAACATGTTTGAGTTGTGCGTATGAACAAAGTTGTCACACAGATTTATTTATCTACACTAAACTGGAAAAAAAAAGTAAGTGATCGCAAAATGCATCGTGAGGGTATTAAAGGACACAGTCAACGTTTCACACCACAAAGCTGATAAACATGAAGCATGATGGGAAAATACTTTGTTATCACAAACATCAGACTGACACAAAACAGACGTCCCATTGGGGAGTAACTGTGTTTTGGGAACAAACTCCTTTTGAGTGTTTTTGACACTTAGTTGAACGTGTTTGGCTTTTTGTTGTGCTGTGAAACAATGTTTTATAGCTGTCCAATACCTGATACACACACATGTTATTTACATTGAAATTGTCAATAGTTATAGAACATTTCCCTTCATGTTAATAACAGTCCAGCTCCAGGCTTGAAACAATGCACGTAGGTCTTCAGCCCTTTAACCCGGGTTCTTTTCTCTAATGTTACTGAGTCATAGTCGCTTCCACCCGGGTGTTGTAACTTCTACGTCAACGTGGCAGCATTCTGCACACACTCGATGCATCATCGCTTACTCTCTGAACCGTTAGCAGTGCTCACAACACCTTTCTGCTGCAGATCTTAGGCCAATGGTTTAAAGTGCACCTGATAAACCAGGAACATGTGTTCCTGTGTGGAACGTTTGGCTGCGTTACAAAGAAAAGACACAATAGAGAGTGGGTGAGATCGCCTCTGGTAGTTCATCGTTACAGGATTAGAAAGTCCATTGAATGGTTTAACTACCACACGCCTCGCAGTGAGCATTCAACAACTCGCCCTCTTCCCTGGATGGCTGATTTCCCTGCAAACCAGCGTCTACCCTCTTCAGTTATTGATTGATTGTGGCTTTATGAATGCTTCTTCCTCAATCTTTCTATGTGCTATCATTTCCCAGATTCTCTTTTGGCAGCTTCCATTTCCTTTTGCCGACAATAATCTCATTTGTTGGGTTTAGGTTGCTCCTGCTTGGCCCTCTGGATAGTGGTATCCAAAGTCTTCGGTTTCTCTTACTTTGGTTTTGCTTCCACTAGTGCCTTGTTTGTTCCTTCTCTGTTTTGGGTTTCACAATTGATAGATATGCTCCTCTGGCAGCCGGATCCTTCGTAATGCCGTCCCTGTCGTGTTGACTTCACTTCACTTGTTATAGGCATATTAAATAAAAAAGAATTACAAAAAGAAATAACCCTCATTTCCAGAGTTTGAGGAGTTAAAACATAAAATAATATATATTATTTGAATAAACTCAATGTATTGAAACTGCATAGGTTTCAGAGAGACTATACATCAATGTTATACAATATGTTTAAGGAAAGAAACTGTCTCAGACACAAAAATATGCATGTCATCTTGTTGACCCAAATACACCCTTAATGGTTGAAGAAAACTTAATTAACTTAATGAATTAAGTGAAACAAGCAACGATATTTAAGTCTTTTTTTCTTGCGATGCTGATTGATCATAATGCAGATGAAACAAGATGTCGGTCAAAACACACAATAGAAGTGGAGTCTTGGACTCTGCAGAGTGAGGGGAGCGGCCCAGACGAACCCGTACCAACCTTTTATTCAATGCGTAGTAATAAAACAACTGTTCATGGATGTGTTTGGGTTCACTGTACTTTAACTTCACAAACTCAGCTAAAGCCCAGACGGCTACATCTGCATCACATGAGCAGAATGTTCCATTGCCCGTGTCGGGGGGTGTAGACGCTGCAACACTATGTCCACAGAGCACATCGCTGTGCCATTTCCCCCCAAATACTTGTTGGCATTTGATAGCTTGTGCAGCACTTTCTGTCGATATTGAACTTTGGTCTCGGAAGCACACGCGGCAGTAGCAGCAGGCAGCGAATGGCATGTGGGCTTTGTGAAATGTTCTTCAGCCGTGTGCTGTGGGCGAGCAGCAGACCCAATAAACCTGGCCGTGTTTGAAGAGCTGACAACCGGAAGATGTATGTCATGTCCTCTTGCTTCTAGATGGTTGTGTACCCAGCCTCTATCACGGGCCAACATAAGGCTCCACTCACTCACTCACATCTGGGCCTTCCACCAGCGGCCAGCTGCCCCTGCAATGCAGTGTTTCACAAATAGATGAAGGGGACACATTTCAATTCGGCCTGACCTTTTTATTGGCTCACACACGTCCTCCTTGTTCTTTTCTCGTTTTGCTTCCGTCTTCTCCGTGGGAATGGGAATATAAATATGCGCTGGGTGTGTGTGTGTGTGTGTGTGTGTGTGTGTGCAGAGGGGATAGTAATGATTGAACCCGTAACCATACATTTTAATTAAATTAAAATCCTCGCTCAAAGTTACATAGCCTACTCTTCTACTCCCAACAAACCATGCAGATGAAGTAGAATCAAAGCGATGCTGTACTCATTTCATTGGCTTTAGTGGAGTGAAGTGTACCTGTAGTTTTCAGATACTAGGTTATGACATTATTAAATCATACTTATTTTTAATCAAACAATCCCCAACCCTCAGCAGACCTTTCATGGCTCTGTAACCTCCAGCTTACACAGATAACCCGCGGTGCACGGCCTTAACTCAAATGAACGGTCAGACCAAATGGCACGTGTCTAGCTGGGTGATTTACCGATCGCGATCCAGTGACTCAAGCCACAAGCAATTATCTGAAGGCCACGTTGTTTACGCTGAACATTACATATGTGAGTCACGTGACCATAGAGACCCATTAAAAAAGCCGTCTTGGATTCATGGCTTGGGTCCCTCTGCTGATTATAGTGCCCTTGACTTTGAGAAGCAGCCACTTGTGGGCCGTTCAGAGTGTAAACGTGTGTCAATATGACACCGAGGTCACAGCGCCTAGCGCAGCAGGTTGTAGAAGTGCACACATTTGTTTTGGAGTAGTCTGAGTTGGGAGGTTCCTGTGTTGACCCACTACACAATCCGAACTCATTGTCAATGACTGACGAAAAACATGAGCAAAAAACCTCTCCCTGAATAATGGGAACTGTCCGGTTTTGGTTATAACTTAAATGTCACAAACTATTATATATGATAATACAACCTGGACGCAAGAAATTTCCAGTTAGAAAGAACAAGTTTGAATGGACTTCATTTAAAGGCCGCAACCTTCAGCTCCAGTGCGGGAACATTTGGGCTTTGAGCCGAATGAGAAAGGAGAGCCAATAGACGAGAACGAGGCCGGTATGTCAACTTTGTCCCCGGACCCCCCCCCCTGCGTGTGTATATAACAACAAATCAATCGGTACACATGTGACTGTTGCTGAGCTGTTGTTTCAGAACAATGGCAGAATAAGTCTTGTGCATTTCTGCGTTTTACAGGGCGGCGCTATCCGGAGTGCTGAAATGGAGCGCAGATCAATAGACGGACAGACACAAGGGCACCGTACAAATCAATCGCACCCGAAACCGACGAATTAGACCCGGATTCTTAGCCTACTTCCTTTATTCCGATCGCCACTCCCAAAACGGCATGTGCTGTTACACTGGAGACTAGTTGGTGTTTGCGCAGCACCAGTCACACATGGAGTTCATAACCCACTTTTTTAATGTGTGTTTGCTGGACAGAATTTGGGGCTCATGTGCCTCTTTGTGCTCCAGTTTTCCCTCGGACGCGGCTCTGCTTTTACTCGGACCGTCAGGATTATCACCTCAGCTGAGTTGGCAAAATTAAAAAAAAAAAGGATGACGCACACACCGTTGTTTGCCCGCCCTTGAAGTTTCAAAGGGGTTTGGCGAGAAGTAGGCAAATTAAAGCTTAATTGTGGAAACTGCGAAGTCCCACTTGAGTTGCCTGTTTGACATGTAAATAAGTTTGAGAGACGGAAGGTCACCTTGCTTCAGCATACTCGCCACCATCACGTCTCACGTTCCTAAAGGGACAGTTTTATGGACACCCTCAAGAGCGTGTTTAGTGGCGACCGGAGGGTCGTGTCAGGTGTGCGGCCGCGGCGGTCAGCGTTGTGTGTTTGTATTTTTTAAGCTCGGTTTGCGTTCCTTTTTAAAGCGTGTTTTGTGAACCCATTGCATAATATGCAGGAGACCATTTTGTACATGTGTGGCACGTGCTTATCTGCCCCGACTGTTTAACAGGGCTGAGGCCACAGCGAGCTGGAGAGTGAGGTTGTGCACAGACGATAGCGCTTCGCTGCTCACTGTGTTGGGTTCTGCCAGGAAGGAGGGCTCGGTTACGACAACAGGAGCCAGCGACTGAGGCAGCGCCCGGCTTTTGTTCTCAACGGAGACATCTGTCCGCTGCTCCACTCGAATTTGCATCATCGTGTTTAAAAGCTAAATCCATCCTCCCTTTAACATCAGCTCCTGTGTGTGGGGAAAAAAATACACAATGCATATCTTTTTCTCTTCTTAAAAGCTCTACAGAGGAAAAGCATGTGTGACATGTAGTGTCCGGCTCCTGTACCGATCAGAAGCAAAGAGGAGGCGGACAGTTCCAAGACCAGTACACAGAAGTGTGAACGGGGGATTAATGTTTCCGCCACACTCGGATTCGCGGCGTCTGTCCTTCAGCTGGCCGTGTCACCCGAGCGCCTCGACCCGACGGCTCCGCTCTGCATCGTCATGTTTTATTCAGCCCTGGGGGATAATTGGAAAATCATCCACTGCACGCTGGCCGAGCAAATGATCCGAGCTGGCCGGCCGCTGTCTCTCACAGAGAGCCCCCCTCTTCTCCCCCTGTGGTCCCCGTAACAGAGCACACCTGGACCCGAGTGTGACGGTGACAGAAGGCCACAGATTTGGTCCATCCATTATTCAACTGTGGCGGTAAGAGTGTAAAAATATACACTGTGTACTAATGTGATTCACTGAGCTAACAAAGAGGCTAAAAGCTGCTGGAGGTGGCCACCACCAACAGTTTGAACTGACCTGACTTCTAGCAACCTCTCTGTCAAGTTTTTGGTCTTTTGGGGCAAAGTTTGTCTTGTTTAACTCAGTGATGTCTTTGCCCCAGTGAGACGTGGTGGTGACCACCACACACCGTTAACGCCAGACAATGCATGAAGCAGCACGCTTTAACCTCTGGATCACTCTCTTCAGAAATGTCTTCCCTGACTGTCCTGAGAGATTTCAGAAGTGGATCGAGCGTTTTTTGCAGCGACTCCCCAGGACAATGTGAAACAAGCTGGCAGAATATCTATGGCCAGCAGTAAACCAGTGGATATTTTCCATACTTTAAGTGTAATGGGACACTCGTTAATTGAGCGATACAGTTGATAGTTAGAGTTTCTAATATTTCTCACACATTCCCTACTTCATGGTGACGGTCACAAAGCTACAGGTTTTTCTCCATTCCCGGCATACCTGTCACAGGAAAATCCTCTACAATCTGACACATGCGGCCTGTAGTCTAAACCCTGTCAGAGATAGACAGATAGGTGCCTGTCTGCTACTTCTGACAAGCCCGGCAGTATTGTCACGGAATGGATGGATTTGAATATCTAAAACTCATTTCAGAGTGGTAAAAATTATTTGCGGTGGAAAAAAGCAAAAACAAACGTCTGAAGGCTTGTAGACCAGCTGCTGTGGTGGGAGGGGATGTTCTCATTCTCATTTTGCGGATATTAATCTGCCGGCAATTTTTTCCCCCTGACATTTTTCACAAAAATTACCTAATGGGAATGATGATGAAAAAAACCCAGACCATAATAACACTGAGAGGAATAAGAACCTGCATCTCCATTAGTGTGTTGCTGCTCATTGAATTAATGCCAGGGTTTATGGGAGGCGGGTGTAGAGACTAATGATTGTTTCATCCATCCACTGAAATGCCAACTGTTCAAGGTCCAGTGTGATTATGAAAATGAAGACTCAAATGTCACACGCGTGTTCTTGGGCTGTAAATGGGTCAGAGGCAGCAGCCTGTCAGCCTGAACCTGAGTCGATCGCCTAGCAACAAGCTCGTCTCCGGCATAATTGAATGTGAATGCGACTTAAAAGAAACACTTTGGAGTCAAGTTCTTTTTCTCTATTTCCACAACTGATTAAATCCGACGTAAACCCCTTTGTCGTAGTTTAGGGGCTTGGCTGCTTTCGTTAAATAAATGATTCAGGTCTAAACTATGATTAAGTTAAATTAAATAGCAGCTAAAATAAGTAACTTGTTTAGATGGGGGGGATCTTCCAGCCAATTGCATGCAGCTGATTAATTATGTTAAAGCGATATGATGTCCTGCTCAGGGATGTACTGTGGAGAGGTTGGGGAACTTGGATATCCGGTTACCTCCCCAGATGTGGTCCAATTAATTGGGATACGGTGGCACGGACCGGCTGAACCTGCTAATGGCTCCTTCCCTGCAAGCAGGGAGCCATGAGTTTGCCTACTGCCTCATTTAAGTGGAATAGCAGTTCCCTCAGACGCACCTTCTCTGCGTGTGGCAGGATATCATGTGTTTGGATGCTTGTGGGCAGGGAGGGGGTGTTTCCAGAACAGGCCATTTGTCTGGATGTCTGTCTCACACACACACACTCGGGAGAGACTGTGTGTCCTTGGTTTTTCTACAAGCAGGCCCAGTGTGCTTTCACTGCATAGCCTAGCTGTGGCTGATCAGGAGACTCGGGCCGGGACGACCAGGACTTTGGTTTCAGCCGCAATCCGATCTGAAATGCTTTGTCTTGTATGCATATTTACCTGCCTGTGTTCAGTGAACAGTTCAGATGTGCTCGTTAGGCTGATGGCTTCGTCTATGTGCCTATAGTGTTATGATGTGGTTCATATCTTTAGTTGGCCATTTGTTTACTATTTGGGCGACAACGCTTTGAATCTCTCAATCACATTTGCGGTGAAGATCACATTAGCCTTGCTCGCTCTTTCTCTTTCACGCTCTCCTCCAGTCCAACACAAACAAATGTTCATTCACCCAGCGACTTCCAAACCACAGCGTACAGCTGACTAAAGGTCACGGTGAGGTCAGACCTCCTGTGCTATCTGAGCACTTGTATAAAACATGGCAATAACCAGCATTTTCAGTTATATAACATGTGTTTCATGCCCTGCAGGATAATAGATGTTAATGATTAGCAACAACTCCCCCTTCCCCCTTTGCTTCAGGAGAAGTGTTTCTTTTCTGGTCTGATTTCTTTTATTTATCTGCAGCCTTTTTGTCTTCATTTAATCAGCGATGCGTTGGTTTCGTCGTCTTCACCCCCCCCCCCCTGTGGGCGCGTCTCTTGTCTTTTAGGAGCTGCTGGGTGTGCTTCGCCACGGACGAGGACGACCGCACGGCGGAGTGGGTGCGCCCGTGTCGCTGCCGCGGCTCCACCAAGTGGGTGCACCAGGCCTGCCTGCAGCGCTGGGTGGACGAGAAGCAGCGGGGCAACAGCACGGCACGCGTGGCCTGCCCACAATGCAATGCAGAATACCTCATTGTCTTTCCCAAACTGGGTGAGTTCACTGGATGAAAGAGGAGATGAGCTCTGTGTGTTTTTCTTTGAGGGCCATCGTGCTTCACTAACTGAACGGTGAGCTCAAGTTCCAGAACACGATGTCCGTGCTTGTAGGAAACTCTCAATTATATTCCTACGCTTACATTTGAAGATATTTTCCACACAATTTTAGCTTGGCTTCATGAGGTAAGATTAATATTCCAGGTAAAAAGAAGTATGATTAAGATGCGCTGCCATTGGATAAGGAAGGCAACGCTCCTCGGGCCAAACTGTCAGCGGTGAAGTTGAATAGTGTTTATTGTAGACAGGTTTTTTTTTAACAAGGAAGAATAATGCATGATGGAAAGCAGACAATATCTCCGCCTGCGCTGCATTCGCTTTGTTTGTTTAAGCTGTCGCCTGTGACACCGGCGATGTCCCAAGGACGCCGCGCTGAAGCTGAGCGTGTGAGCAACGTTCAAACTACAGACACGGGGGAAAAAGAGCCAACGCTGCTCAGCACTGAAACAGAGCAGAACTTTCGCTTCTGGATTGCGTTCGTTGTGCTGTCACATTGTCATGTCGTGTCTTTTACCCCGACCGGTTGTCAGCGTGGAAGCGGCGCTAGAGAGGGAATGACCACTTAGCTCCTGGTTCCAGTTGCCGCCTGCCACCGTGTCCACATCTCTCAGAGCGATTCAGTTTGTCTTGCCTGTGTGTGTGTGTGTGTTTATTTACTCTGAAGCCAGCGCTGGTTGTGCGATGATCTGGGTAAATATTTCCTCTCAGCACTGACGTTGAACAGAAGGGCGCTCGTTTGTTCCCGTCTGCCTCAATAATCCCGACCAATCGGAGACGGGTGGCTTCAGCGGTTCCCGAACACCAGCTGTGACTCACTTAGTGAACACACGCCATACACCTCAGTGTTTCCCCTACGTTCAATTAGGGGGGCGCCCCTTCCTCCCCCAACCGTCCCCGCGCCCACTAAGAAAGTCTGTTTTTTTTCATGTTTACAATTATCCGCTGATCTCTGCGTGCATGGGAGTTCCGTCCCAATGGGCAGCGTGAGCGCGCTCCCAACAGCCAACAGAGAGCGTGCGTAGAAAAATGAAGGTGACGCATATGCAGCCCCCCCCCACTAAAAGCTGTAAACCTGGGGGGGAACACTGCACCTCTGCTTATTTGTCTGGAACCCTTGTCGTTTTTCACACTTATGCTGTTGTCAATATTCTAGGTTGAGGAATAAGATCGACAGTTTTCTTGCTTTTGCCGTTGTGTTTTGCAGCCAAATGCCGGAACCAGGACACATTTAAAGTGAGTAGTCCGCAGTTGTCACTAGGTTACCCATCAGCCTGTTCAGCCGCAAAGAGAGAGGTTGAAATTTGAGATGGTAGCTGGCGCCAAGACAATGCCAGTCTGCAGGTGGCCTGGCTCGGCCGGTGAACAGGTTCATGCATATTAATAGTGGCCGAGGCTGTGCTGTCATTCCCTTTTGGTTTCCATGATCAGAATATTTGGCTCAGGTTCTTCAAACGCTTCTATGACACAACGGACAAGAGCTGATTATTGTGCGCATCGATGTTTGTGTCTGTCAAGCCTGTTCTGAAAGAATTGGGACCAGCTGATTATGGCTGAGTCAAGAGAAAAACAGAATAACCTCCGGTCGAGCATCCTAACAGCCCACTCGTGTCTCCCTCTGTTTGTGGATGCGATGCACATTTGACTCCTATCAGAACTGCTATGAATAGTGTAAGTGGGTTGGTAGTGTGAAACCGTCATTCCCACAGACAGGCCAACCGATGGGGAGAAGGACATGGGTCACCCAATAGACTTCTTCCATTGTTTATATATATATATATATGTATATATATATATATATATATATATATAAATGTCTTGACACTTCTTGTTTTTCAAGTAACCAGTAACCATCTTCCATTTTATTTTTAAAAACAATTCTTTTCTTGGTTTGATATTTAAACTTGGGCTCCATTGAATGCAAATCTCCTCCTCTGACCCAAGCATGTTTTTTGCTGCCGAATGTTGGTGTCACTCACTCGCGTTGGCTCTGCGACGTCCCTCCAGTCGGTTTGACGCTGTGGCTTTTGAAGTGATGATTTAGACACGTTGCCTCAGTGTTTTCTTACGTCTGTCATGTCAGCCAGCTCTTCTTTCCTTCTTCTGCTCCCTGACAGTGAAGTCCAGGAAAAAGTGGTTGTAGCCTCGAGCTCATCAGCTCCGGGCGCCTCCTGCTATCTTTGTGTTCCTTTGGACTAGTTCAGATGTTCAGCTTGTTTGGTCTGCGGCAACACGGCATCGTGATGAGCCAGTGGTTAATTTTGTGGGGGAACTTCCTCTTTACTGTTGCCGATGTGGCCGATGGCGCCCTGAGAGAAGGACACACAGTCTATTTATTTAGGACTTCATAGCAGCATGAGGCCTGCGTTACCTGGTTAGCATAACATGTTAGCGTGACATGCATTTGTTGGTTTGGCTTCAGGTTAAGCCTCGGTCACACCGAAGAGAAACCACGTCGGCGTAGCAGGTGTGTGTGTGTAGAGGCTGTTTAGAGGACGCGGCTCACACATGCGCGCTACGTCAGCACAGAGACTTTGTTCAGCATTTCCTGCACATTTTTCTGCATTGATTTATACATCATTCATAGCAGCTCCTTCCAGTTTTAATCGGCCTCTAAACAAGTGCCTGTTCACATTGAGCCAAGCTTTTCGTATCACTCGCACTCAAAGTAACAGGTTACATTTTGTGCGACCGTTAGTTGACATTTCAGTTTTTAGCTCGGTAGCGATCGGCGAAAAAGGACCAGAAATCGGTTTGATCGGTTTCGGGCAACTTTACCGGACAAGTAAGGTGGATGTCATGAGCGATGTGAATAAATGAGAAGGTGCGAGATCTAGCAAGGAGACCCAATGGTGTTTACAGCACGTACGGGGACTATTCTTTCTCTAGACTACTGAAATGAGATACATAACGTTTGGTGACGTGACTAATACTATTTTGTGCTGAAAGGCAGCTATTTACTTATTGTTTATTATTTTGCTGGTAACCGTATTATAAAAGCAATACGGTACTTGAGGCAGTACTTTGTCTTCAACTTTAAAAGTTCAAAGTACTACAAACGCCCCCGAATTTCTGGACGATTAAGTACCTTATTGCTTAAGTAGAGAATCTGACCGACAGAAGAAACACTGGAATATTGTTACATGTGTCCCAATGACTACTAGGCCTGTACCAAAGTCCCCCCAATGTTTTTTATTTGAATTCAAAGCTTCTGTTGAGCTTTTCAAATTAAGCTTGGGATGTCTATTGTCCTACTTTAAGGATATTCCGTTTATGGTCATTAAAACAAAGGTTTATGGGTTTAGATTAATGATCCTTTTTATCAATTAATTTTGTGTTTGTGTGCTTGAGAAGGAAGGAGACTGTAGAGACGGCGTCGTCCTGCAGACGCCACTGCAGCCTGATTCTGCAAATGCTCTAACCCTAAAAATATCAGCGCTTGACTAAGCAGAACTAACCCGGTCTGAGCAGGACGAGCAGAGAAACGAAGCTGCGCGGCGTTCAAATGTACATTTAGTCATTTGAAAGCCAGTGTAATGAATCCAGCTTTTCAACTGCCCCTGATTACACAGCAATTGGTAGAAAGGAACCGCGTCCGTCTGGAGAGGAAATCCAGCATTTGTTTATACGTTATAGCAAATAACTACAAAGGAAGATAAATGCCCTCATTAGCACCAACGCGCTCCGTGAGGGACTCACAGCACCAACGTAGTCTGAACACCGTCGTCCTCAACAAACCCGTCCCGCCAGTCGACATCGTTGCCATAACAATGGTTAATTCATTTACCCGACCACAACCTGATCAGTTTCCCTTTCATTAAGTGTCCTTCCCCGAACACCATGAGGTTATCCCCCCCCCCGATCTGATGATGTTTACCTGGGCCTTCCCCTAATCCCATTAGGAAGCGTTGGACAGAGCCGAAGCGGCGTGGGGGCGGGAGGGGCTGACGGAGCAGCGGCTCATTGGAGGCTGACGGAGCAGAAAGGGATGAGCGGGGCAGCGGTTGAGTCAGTGAAACCCCGGCTGCCCTCCCCACCCCCTCCCCGACTGACAAAACCCATCATTCAAACTCTAGAAACAGGATACGTCTCCGGCCCGCATGCAAAAGTCGCATGCTCAATCACATGATCCGGCCTCTGGCTGCAGGCTGCTCCGGGCGTTAGTGCGCAGCAGGACAGCGTCCTCTCCTTCTGCTGCATCATTGCTGCAGTCTTCCTGTCCTTCATTACAGGGATGCAGGCGATGCTACCTGGTGTTTATCATGCGCTGCTTGTACAGGCGGCCGACGTGTTCGGTTTAAAACTCCGGTATATATTTTTCCTTTTGAATATAACTTCTAGCACAAACTGGTATTTGCAGCGGCTTCAATTGGCCCTCGGAATAATAGCAATTTGTACAGCCGGGTGACGGCTCTCTCTCTGCGTGATGGAGAGACGGGGTCACTGCTTGGAAGCCGCCACGCTAGTTACTTTGTCCGCGTTGCTGCGGAGGCCGGCTAAAGGGCCTCGCTGGTGTTTGGCTCCTCGGGTGGATCCCTGCCTCCCCCGGCTTGGCTGATCCCACCACCTTTTCGATAAACCCAGGTTTTGATTATATTTTTACAGGTTTGTGGTGCATGAGCTAACAGGAGACGGCCCACCAAGAGCCGGGTAGCTTATGTGCTGCTCTGGCCGTATTCCCACCAGCATATCTGCCCGTTTTGGGCCAGCAATAGAACTTCCAGGACAGCGTGTCCTTGCTTCTCCAGAGTAAACAAGCCAGCTGGAACAGTGTCCAAGCATGCATGCCCGCTACTGAGGAATTGCACTTTTTGCCCCTCCTCTCCTCCCCTCCCGCCCATTCCTTTCCTCCTTTTTTAATTATCTTAATTATGGAATCTGCTGCCAGCGGCTGAAAGGAATTGCTCAGCTCTCCTTCCTGCCAGCAGCCATTTAGGGCCGACCCGGTTCCCTGCGGCTTGGAGAAAGCAGAAGAGAATCCACCGCTGTCATCAAAATATGCCATTTGAATGCGTTCAGGCAACGCGAGATCAATCCGGTCGGCGAAAACAGGTGCAGTAAAAAAAGGAGCCCTGGAGAGCATCAAAAGGAGCGCGGGGAGATTGATTCTGTGTTTAAAGCTGCTTCAGAAATAAAAGGGAGATATTTCCGTTGCGTGCTAAGTAGCTTTAAAAGGGCCAAATGCCTCTTGCTTGCCGCGGGTTCCTTCCTTAACAAGTGGCCCTGAGCTCTGGAGGCGGAGCTTTTACAGAGGGATTGTCATCGGCTGCAGCAATGGTCGCCCAGGTAACCGTGGTAAGACGCCTGTCACGTCTTATGTGTCCTCTGTGAAAGACCCTCACCCCCAAATATCCACGGGGGACTTCCACTCACTGTGCCGGTCGGCTGCGGTTCGCCCGCCCCGCTGTTATTTTTGGGGTTCCAGTCGACAGGACACAGGAGACGCCTTGTTCATGAGCAGCACATCTGCTGTGCACTCACCCTGCAAACCTGCATGCTAGCAGAGTGGAGGCTAACTTTAGCATCTCTGACCTGCTCTTCCTTCGGTCCAAGCCGCCCCAGCTGGATCATTTTCTCTCTAACCGGATCGACTTTTGTGTCTTAAAGATCAAACAAATGCAAACAATTTCAAAAAGATGATAAATGTGGTCTTATTTTATTTAGTAAGCAGCTGTGTTCTGCAATACTAGTTCACACTGTGTACAAAAGCAGTGAGCTGGACGGCTGCCATGCCAGCGACTGGATCAACCGAAATGCGAAACCGGAGGCTTCGGTGAGTTAAAAAGAACTAAACGTGGCCAACCGTGATCATGAAACATTTTCACCGCGGCAGCATCAGTACCAACGCTCGATGCTTGGAAAGTGACCAAAAACGCCGCGCGCAGTGTCCCCAACTGGAGCATTGATCGGCCCATATATTAGCGAGACGGGCTCCTCGTGGATCGATGGCCCTCGTCCTGCAGGCGGGTCACTGCGGCACGGCACCACCAGCTGAGGCCCGCCCCCGACTCCCGGGCCGGTTGTTAATAGGAGGTGGACGGGTCTGTCTGAGCCAGGAAATCAGGCTGCCTTCCTGTAAACGCAAATGTCTTTGAAAGCAAGTTTTGGTCTTCAGAAGAATCCTCCTGTCACATGCCAGCCTATTTATCTAGAATCTAGGTGCAACCTGGCTGGGAAGCTCCTCCCCCTCTGTCAATAACTGAGGCCCGTCGGGTTCGGTGCGCACCTTGCATTACTAAGCCTCTTTTCTCTCACATGACTGCATAGTTGACATTTCTTTGGTTTGGGCGGCCTTACTGCGTCGCTTCATTTCTTCCTCTGCTCCTTTTGCAGTGTACTGGATCCTGGAGGTCAAAGGTCACCGCCGGTTCAACTCCTCTGTATCCAAGCGGCCGGTGCCCCCTCTTTTTTGTCGATGTACGAGGCTCGTGAAGTGTTGACGATGTTTTTTGTTTCGCTCGAGAGCCGCGTCGTGCTCTCGCACACACTGTTCATTGGCAGATTGGATATTTGCCAGTAACGGGATGTTCATGTGCTGGATTTACCTAAATCTTTCTGCTCTGATTCGGTGGGATTAAAATGGAAAAAAGGGAAATCATCAGCAGTCCGTCACACGTTGTCGAAATGCTGCAAAAATGTGTTTAACGACAAACATGTGACACCAATAGAGATCCACTGCTCAGTAGAAACGTGTAGGAGCGCCTGTCTGGCGCTGTGGCTCGGCTGGAGAACGGCGAGCTTAAGCCGTCACGCTCAGGGTCCTTTCATTGTTTAAATCAATCACGCTAAGTGACGGTAGGAAGGGGGGGGGGTGATTGTACGCTGCATTTATATACTGTGAGCCAGATTACAGTCATGAGGCGCTGCATTCATAACGCGGCTGGACATCTAAGCAGCCTTCTAGTGTTTGACAGCAGAGCACTGACTGCCGCTTTAACACCTCAGAGCCGACCTCAGGGATGGAGGTCAGGATTGTTGACCGATGATGTATAGTTTTTGTTGTTGTTTGAGTTGGATCCAATGTGTGTATCGAACATGAAACGTCCCCTAATGTAACAGCAGGGGAAACGCTGGCTAGGAAGAACTTCTTTAAGAGCGGTGGTGTGCGTGGGCCTCACTCTGAGCCGTGTCTCCTCCCCCCCCCACCCCCTGCAGGCCCCGTGGTTTACGCTCTGGACCTTGCCGACCGCCTCATCTCTAAGGCCGGCCCCTTCGCCGCCGCCGGCATCATGGTGGGCTCCATCTACTGGACCGCAGTCACCTACGGAGCCGTCACCGTCATGCAGGTGGGAGCCGTTTGCTTTTGGTTTATGAGGCCCGTCGGTTAACGCGGTGACCTGAATGAAAGGACGGTTAGTAAACCTGCCGATACGCCGCCTGCGTTCAGGTGTGGTGCCGCTCCTCTGTGTCTTCCGTTGTTTGACTCGTTCTTATGCGTGAGTGAAAGTGCTCCGTCCTGACCCTCCCCCCCCGCCCTCCAGGTGGTGGGCCACAAGGAGGGCCTGGACGTCATGGAGCGGGCCGACCCCCTGTTCCTGCTCATCGGCCTGCCCACCATCCCCGTCATGCTGATCCTCGGCAAGATGATCCGCTGGGAGGACTACGTCCTGCGCCTGTGGAGGAAATACTCCAACAAGCTGCAGATCCTCAGCAGCATCTTCCCAGGTCAGGACACACACACACACACACACACACACACACACACACACACACACACACACACACACACACACACACACACACACACACACACAGCTGTTTAGCTGAGTCAAGCGTTGTGGATGTAACGGTCCAGCAGCAGAACTGCCTCCTTCCACTGCTGGGTAATTGGGAAATGAACAAGATTCAAACAACTTTTTGTCAGTTTCAAATGAGCATTTTATGGCAATAGATTGTCAATATTATTATTGTGTTGATCCCACCGATGAGTCAGACTTGCCACGGCCAATGATCCAAAAGCAGTTTGGGACACAGGACGCAGGCTGCTGGTGACGCAGCAACACCGCTGTGTGTGTGATGAGGTGCCTCATTCACACATCGCCACCTGCTCATTCGCCACGCGGGCCGCCCCTGGTTCGTCGTCATTTCACCAGAGACGAATAAACACACGCTCACACCGGACGTGAGGCTCGACACACCAGCTGCGCGTGTGCACGTTCTCAGCGGGCCCCCTGCGTCTCTCTCTCTCTGTCTCCCCCCAACGCGTGCGTCTCTGCAGGGATCGGCTGCCCGGTTCCTCGCATCCCGGCGGAGGCCAGCCCCCTGGCGGACCACGTGTCGGCCACGCGGATCCTGTGCGGCGCGCTGGTCTTCCCCACCATCGCCACCATCGTGGGGAAGCTCATGTTCAGCAGCGTCAACTCCAACCTGCAGAGGACCATCCTGGTGGGTACCAGCACGCACAGAATCACATGGTCGAAGTCTAGAGGGGGGGTGACGCCCCTCCCTCACAGAGCGGTGCCCGTAGAACACTCTGTCCTCTTCTGCTGCTGCGGACTGAAAGCTGAGTGCTGCAGCAGTTTCCCCTTTACAGGAAGGAGGAAGAAGCGGCCGTGGTGAGAAGCTATTAGAGGAACACGACTTTTTGTCGTTTTTGACCGACAGCAGCAAATATTAAGGACACTTGCAGGTTGTTAAAATGCGTTTACAGCATTTAATGAGTTGGTTTCTTTCTCTCTAGGATTTTATTATTAACGTGACAAATATTTACAATGAATTAAATGTAAATTATCGTCGTTTTAATAATCGTACCACCATTACAGTGGTCATATTGGTTGTGGTTGGAAAGGAACAGCGACCTCATGGAGTCAGCTGACTCACGGTGACTAAGAAGGTTACTGCACACGGCGCCGAAAACAAGTTTTTATACGACGTTAACTAAAGGCCAATAATATGAATTAAACATTTGATCCAATTCTGGTGGCGGATTGGATTGTATCTCGTGGCTTTATCAGTACATCCTTTTGTCTGTTCCTGTGCTGTTTGAATGATGTCATCATACGTGTGCGACCCGGCCAGCGCTCCCCATCGTGCACATGGCGTGTCAGAGGACTCATTGAGTTCATGTTTCGCTTTGGGTCTCATTCAAAGTATGAGTCCGTTTCAGTTTCCTCATGTGACTTGTCTATTTTTGTGTGAGTCGATTTGCACACGGACCAACTTCCCTGAAATGTTAATAATGGGCCTTTGTTTCTTTTCTTTAGGTGAGATTGATAATTAATAGTTAATCATGTTTTGAGAGAAAATTAGAAAATTTTTCTTGTAAAATATGCTCATTGGAAGTGTTAAAGGGAACTCAAAGGGGGAAGAGGGGGGGGGGGCATGTTGGGTTGAACTTGTTGATGGCGGCTGGTACAGTTGGTGGACTCTGCTACCTTATCAGTCGTCTCCCCTAACTCGTGTCTGTGTTCTCCTGCAGGGGGGGATCGCCTTTGTAGCCATCAAGGGGGCGTTTAAGGTTTACTTCAAACAGCAGCAGTACATGAGACAAGCCCACCGCAAGATCCTGGACTTCCCCGAGCCGGAGGACGCCTGAGGAGGCGCCGCGGGACGGACGGACTAAAGAGCGGGATGTGCTGATGAGACAGACTTATGATCGGTGTCACCCTCACACACCACGTGCCTCCCCCACAAATCACCCTTCCTGGATGGTGCACGGAGTCAGAGCACCGTTGTGGACATTCGTTCGAAGCGCCGCCGCCGCCCCCCCCCCGCCCCCCCCAGACGGAGGCGTATGGTGGGTCTGGTCGCCCCCACCTCCCCCACATTGTTTTCAATCTCCTGATGCTTTTGTGAGGGGAAGACTGATAAGACTTGTTGACACAGACCGGAGCATGTTTTGCAGTCAGTGTACACACACACACACACACAACAAGGCTCTGTGTCTGGAGGGAGGGGGGGCTACAACAACAACTACCATATATTGAAGTCATTGTGAACCTGTATTTTTAAGAAAGCATGTGTAATTAGTTTTATAATAATACATAACTGTTTTATAACATTGTTTTGCATATTTGAAAGAGTCCCCTTCACCAATGTTAGCAGAGTGTAGAATGTATTCATGAGTGGTGACGCAGAACATTCAGCACCACCAGGAAGCATTCAGACAAACCTCGTCTCATATTTAGCGAATGAGGATCCAGCAGAATGCCGCTGTAAAGGACTCGCACGGCCCCCCCAGAGGACCACCTGGACCCTGCAGCTGCTCTGTGGTTCACGCGCCTTGGCAGCGTTGCATTGATTGTCGTAGCTTTATTTCCATCTCCACTGAGACGCTGGCCCATAAAGCACGGTGCTTTAGTTCTTCTCCCCCCCCCCGGCGTGTGATGATGGGCTGCCGGGTGAAGTGCGGCTCGGGTCCGACTTAGTGGGACCTGCGGCGCTGGTGACTGGGGAGCAGCGGCCGGGCGGCGCTCACACCTCAATGGCTTTTACAAAGTTTTACGTAATTTCCAACATCTCTTCAGTAGAACAAACGCAATGAATAATAATGTTAACGGACCCAATTTATTATGACCGTACAAAATAAAAGTATTGGGGTAGCAATGGAAATCCTAAAACCTGGAAAAATCCAATACTACATGTGAGGATCGTGTGAACACGGCACTGCGTGATGTCAATGTTAAAGCGGAGAACGGCGGCCAAACTTTGTTTTCTGACTCGGAGTCACAAAATAATCATTCAACATTGATATATATGTAAACGTATATAAATATATACACAGATACTGTGGCGGCTTTGCAGGTGTCCTTCAACCCCCCCACGTAGATTCACTGCTCTGCTCGGCCAGAAGAGACGCTGCGTCTGCGCCTCAGAGGTTAAGCTGTGACTTGTGTGAATAAATGTATTTTTCCAATGACGACGTGCATGTGTTGATCTTGCCGGGAGGGAGTGTCGCATTTAAACGCACACACACGCTGTTCCCTTCAGTAGTTAATCAGAACAAAATGCCGACACTCTTGTACAACAAGTCGGGGTCTCAAGCTGCAGAGGAGATTCCTACCACCACTACGATGTGTAGACTGTAAAGCCCTCTGAGGCCAATTGGTAATTTGGGGTTTTACAAAATAAATTACATTTTTAGGAAGGGATGTTTATTCTGTTTAATCTTCATGAGCTCACATCAGGTCTTCAGTTAGGATGGTTAACAAATCATCACTTTGTTGGTCAACAAAATATTTGAATATATTTACTTTATTTTTTCTATAATTGTTGGTAACATTATTTATACTAACCTTATATTTATGTTTAACTGAATGAACGTATGGCTGATAGTTTGTACATCATGTACTATTATTTTAAAAGTCCTGCATGTTTAAATGTAAGTGTTGTGTGGACTGTTTAAAATACATTGTCAATGTCTAACTTACATTAAGAACCAAAGCAAACTTCTATGGAGTAACAGTCGGGAAGTTATTTGAACGATAATGAGCGAAAATATAACGTACAGCTGTTGCTGAATACTTTGTTTAAGCACCTTCGGCAGCAATCAGTCTCCTCAGTATGATGCTGCGTGTTTCGGGGCACTTTGCTGCGTGCGTCTGCTCGTTGCATCGAGGTTGTCGCTGTATGTTGCTGCATTCATCTTTCCCCTTAATCCTCCTGCTGAAGAACATCCCCACCATGCCTCACTGTGGGGCTGGCGGGGGCCACGTGATGTCCAGAGCCTGGTTTCCTGCAGACTCTACCACACCGCAGGTCTACAGACAAGTCCTTGGACGTCACGGCTTGGTTTGTGCGCTGCATGCAGTGTCCCTTGTGGATCCTTCTGAATCACGTCCAATCAGGTTGTAGGAACATCTCAAGGGGATCAGTGGAGGATGCAGCCGAGCTCAATCTAAGTGGCAAAGGCTGTGAATACTAATGTACATGTTATGTTTTCATTATTTTTAATAGATTTTCAAAAATGTCCACAAAACTCTTCACCTCATTATCGGGTGTTGTGTAGAATTGTGGAAAATTTATCTAATCCATTTTGGAATAAGGCTGAAACAAAAAGTGAAGCGCTGGATACGCACACGTATGCGTGTTTTACAAACTAACTATTGATCAGTAAATATTGAACAAATCAATAAACAGTGTGATCAGGTAGCATAAGTGACTCATTGTTTTGTTTTTCACATTTCTTCAATGTGCCGTTCAGCAGGTGAGATGTGTTGTAGTTTTAAGGGACAGAGACCTTAAAGTTTACGAGCTAATCGATTTCTTAATCTTTCGTCTAGTATTTGTACTTTGCACAGGTCAGCACTACTTTTCAAAAATGCAAATTCGTTTTCTTTGGAGTCACTAGAACAAGTCGATCGTGCTTGTTGGTACGTCAACAGGTCACGGTTCTGGGACACAAGGGTCCGATGTCCCCCCCTGCAGCCGGAGACCTGATGCCGCAGACGTCTCACTGACGTCTGCAGGTAAATGGTTGCTTGTGAGGGTCTCTGAGGCCTTGAAACGGTGGAAGTATAATAATGAAAAGGCTGAACAGACAGGTAAAATATTTGAAAATACAAATACAAAAATCCCACACCACACACAGAATAATTTAGCTTTACTTCCTTCCTTCCATTTTCTGGCAGACTGATTTACATGAAGAAAAGTTTCGGGGGAAACTGGTATTGACTTTCTGACCCACTTTCCTTATCGAGGCAAAAACAACCATGAATATTGAACCCTGACTTTGGCCATTTAACAGGTCTGTTTAAATAAAGTTGTTATTGAAGGTTCAAGAGCTGGTTACATGTTGATTGATCTGCTCACAATGAGCTTTAATTTATGCTTCACATCATTCTTGATGAATTTTCCCACTTGTTTATTAATCCCAAAGGAAATAAGGCCGTAGGACTTCAGCATAAAGACGGCTCATAACTCACAAGCCCCAGTTTCCTTTTCCATCGCGTCCTTTTGAAGGGTCTTAACTCATCAGGCACAGCAGTGAATGCAGTTTCTTTCTGTGAGATAAGGAGACGTTTGCCTTGAAGATGTTAAAGTGATGCAGACATCAACATGATGGAGCCCCGATCTTCTCACACACACACACACACACACACACACACACGCACACACAGTTCCATTCAGTAGTTTATTAATTAGAAACACAGGAGACGATAAAAAGAAACAAACTCAAAATGCCAGCACTCTTGTTTCACCGGTCAGTCTCTAGAGCTTCCAAAGACATTCAGAAATTAAAATATGCTTCTGCCTACTAAATGTAAAACAATCACGAGGTACCTCACAAGAGAAGGTGCGCGGCGGCTCGTCCCAGCGTGATATGTGATGCTGCGGATTTGTTCCCAACGGTGCCGTGAAGCTCCGCCTGTGGGACCCGAATTAGACTTCATGCTGCTGCTGGTGGTCTTTGAACTGCAGGAGTTCATAACGCCTTTTTCTTACTTCAAATAATTGTTGTCGTTTTGTTTTGATCAGGTTGCAAAACCTTGAAGAGGCTTTGGATGCGGAAATCCTCCCATGAAACCCCGATCATTAGTTAAAACGAGCGTGGTTCAGGGGGGCGATCGCGCCCTGAGAGCAGCTGAGGGAGGGGAACTAAGTCGTTACCCGCGTATCTCACGCCGCTCCTTCCCCACAGCGAGGTTATTGCTCAGCGAGAGAAGTGCATATATTCAGGAACATTTTAATCCAGACTAGATGTTTTTTTCTTTTCAGCCACTTTCATTAAAAAAAGAGCCAGAGCAACGGATCGGATAAAAGACGCAGGATTTCTGAGCCGAATCAGCGACGTCCAATGAAGCCAGAAACTACTACCCCCCCCCCCCCCATCATCCCAGAAAGGCACGAGCTGCAGACAAAGAATCATGACAATCACACTGGAGCCTACGACATTAAAAAGAAACAAATACTGTTATTTCTTCAGTTTTACAAGAATGACTCG